TGATAAAATTTAATAAAACATTTTTCGGAGTACGACAGTTACGAGACTGAGACAACATTTTGATATTTCGATGAATGAAAAAATCGATCATGTCACTTCTTTCTGACTGGAGTGTTCTTACAATTTTTCTTGATATCTAACAAAATTCATTTTGGTGCTCCTACATACTTGTTTATGATTATGAAGATATCTCGAATAAAGTTTTTTTACCAGAAATCCTGTACTGAAATTTGTAAATGACCAGCTCCCAAATCATATGATGGAGAGCTTGCGAATTGGTGAACAGATTATTGTGCTCAATGAATCAACACAAATGAGGTAGAAACCAAAATGAATTTTGTTATTTATTCATCTCGGAAACCAAGGAAAATTATCAATTATCAAATTAACCGTACTCCAGATAAATGACATTGATTTATTTAAGATTTATTTAGGGAAACATGTTTCGGACAGTCATGTGTCCATCATCAGCCTTAATCCTTACAAACCAAATGTCCTATAATATGATACAAGTTAATCATGAAAAATATATGAAATAGAAAATTTACATATACAGAGGGTAGCATTGAAATAACTGCAAATATTTCAAACACTGAGAAAGCTCGACGTGTACGATCGAATCGCACTAATGAAAAAGAATTAGGATCAAAATAAAATTTGAGATTAGAACCTTTTTTTCACCCAAAGTTCTACACTGTAGCAAATCTGACGTCACCTCTGTTCAAATTTCCACGCGGAGTTCAATCATTTGAATTGTTTTCAAGTGGCGATTTTTTTCACGTATTTTGTTCCTTTGGGATCGAATATCTCGTTAATTAGAAGAATTAGAAAAAATCTGATATCATGGGAATATTCCTTAGACTGTATCATATTTATGTGCTGAATATGTGCACTTATTTCAAAAACACCTTCTATATAATTTTTTTTATACATTTTTCATGTTTAACTTGTATCATATTATAGGACCTTCGGTTTGTGAGGATCGAGGCTGATACACTATAAAAACAGTTTTAAGTTCCAAATTGAGTGAATTTGACTTCGACTTATATAGCCTGAAACGTTGGTTTGCTGATCTCGTATCGTATTTGTTAAGATCTGACGAAACAGTATAGTTCCCTTTGTCTGAGTGTATTTCACAAAGAGTTTGATATAATGTAAATACATGGTAGTGTCATTATTTTCATATCAGTAAAAAGGGGACGACAGTGTTCTCTAAGTCCGACTCCAGCCAGAAGACGAATGGCATTATTCTGGAATCTTTTTTTCATGTTCTGGTTCCCACGAAAAGGGATATCCTGTAATGTTCAGAGAACATCGTGAGAACCAAGGGAAATAAGGTAGGAATTGGTGTCCTTCTTAAATTTCTGGAGTTTATATGCCTCGTGGAACACCTCTTTTGGCAATGTGTTCCAGAGTCTCGCTGTTCGTTGGATGAACGAGTTTTTGGAAAGAGATGTTCTGCAGGTCTCCAAAGTTACCACGAAGGGGTGCGAAGCCTCAACTCGACGGGTTAATCTCGCGGGGACTGCCAAGGGAGAAACAATTGTTGATATTTCAGAAGAGCATCGTCCATGAAAATACCTATAAAATAGAGCCAGATCGCCAACTTTTCTACGGTGTTCCATAGAAGTGAGTGAGTTTGTGAGCGAGGCATCACCCACGAGACGAATTGCCCTTTTTTGGACAGAATCCAACAGTTTCAGGGTATGTTTGCTGCTGGAATTTCCCCATAGAATGGTTCCACAGCTAATACGTGAGTGAAATAGAGCAAAATATATTTGCTTCAGTAATTCTGGACCTACAACATATCTCAATTTTCTTGAGAGAAATATTGTACGGGATATTATCTTTATATTTTATGCAAAGTCAGTTGAACACTCAAAGGTTGAACAGATCATCAAACGAATGTCGGGCAGCGCTGCCGCACTCTCTGAACTTTTTGTCACTATTACCAGCTTAGATCATTCTAAGATTACCAGTGCATGGACTATTTTTTCAAAGTTGACTAGATGAGAAAAAAAATTGTCCAGTTATCAAAACTTGACACTTCGTAACTCGTTCTTCCTCACATGGCCGACTATATAGGTTACAAACTCGGTTAATTACATAAGATCAAGATCGATATCATATCTCATTTCATTTTGATACATATTACCTATAAGTATATATCTAGGTATACATATATATTTCGTAATCGATATCATTGGGAAATAAACACAATAAGTATATCTACCCGAGTGTAGAAAGTGTAATATTTAATGATACATCAGATAACAGTCTGCTACTCAATAATTATCTATTATTTCCTTATACCCAGATTGAATCATAACGTGTCAACAACCCTACATATGAGGAAACGAAAATAAAAAAAAACTGTTGACAAAGCGAAATTATAAAGTTCTACTCTGATGAATAGTGGATTAGATTCAGAAGAACCCGAGTATTATTTTTTCATCGAAGATTATTTCAATATGCGTGGTACAAATCAGATGTCACAGCGCGTTTAAAAATGTCACTATTAGAGAACCTAAACGAAAAATGCAATCAATAGTTAATCGAAAAAGTATCAAATTTTTCCTCAGCATTGGAAATAATTTGAAACGACTAACAGATAATTGATATATCAAACATTCATTAGTATTTTTATCTATCTATAATATTCTATCCAAGTGACATCTATAGGACGATAGATGTTGCGAAACCTTCACCCTGTATATAAATATTTGAAATGTACGCTGCTTATGTGGTATTATAGGATCCAGGAAATTATGCAAAATTTGAAAATGCAATGGTAATATACAAGAAGTCCTATTTGAAAATCGAAAACTAAAGTGAAAAAAGAATCATTTATATGCCAAATCGTGACGATTATTGACTATACAGGGTGGTCCACTTTAGATAGTATCACTTTGAAAATCGATAGAAGACCTCATTTGAAGATTTCTATCTCTATCTATCTACCAATGTATATAGCATCTTTTTTTCTTGAAATAAGGTACCTATTTTATCAGTGGCTATTATATAGTGATGGACCACACTGTATGGCTCTTTCAAATTTCAATAATTTATCTTTGAAATCACATTTTGGCGATATTTTTTGCATGAGTAATCGAGTAAGTAATAGGTATATATACTATATATACGTTTTCTTGTTTTTCGAGGATTAATATAAACACTCAAGGACATAATCAATGATTAACGACGGCGTTTTGAGGAAAAAATCTCGAAATTCTGAGAATAAAATCTCAATATTTGAACTATCAGCAGCGGCAGTCAATCCACTACTTTTCTGCCTAGTAAAACAAATAACTATTTCAGCACTAGTCAAGTTTTTTCTTCGGAATGTAATCCACTTGAATGTCGTTTCAACGTTCTTTTTCATGTTACTATACACATAATTCCGAGCATAATTTCCATTAGGTAGCACAAGATTTCTTGATAGTTTAACCCCAATAAAAAATATTAACTTGAGCAGTTATTATTCATCTATTCAATTTGTAGGTATAACTCAGGTGCTTGTTTAGATCATTGGTAGTCAAAACTTGAACCTTACTCAATGAGGTTATGTTCAGAATCAGAGGTGCTAGGACATTTTTACATTATTTCACAAAATTTCGACTTTTTATCTCAAAATGTCGATGATATTCTGAAAATTTCGAGATTTTTAGAAATAAATCTCATTTTATATGGCACCGATACGCCGTCATGAGTAATAATAATAATAATATAGAAATGTTGACAATGGACTGCATAATGTTTTTGTTTAACTTGAAAAATTCTGTTTTATACTCACAATGTGACTGTGCATATCTTATATTTATGTTTCCTTGATGTTATTTATTTTTCTTGTTTTTATCCTATTTTGTGTCACGTAATTGTACAAACTGACTGTGTATATTTTATATTTATTTATTTTACTACATATGAACTTTGTCAATGAGAGTATATCTTCAGACAATGAGGTATATTATTTTTAATTTTCAATCTGCGTAGAATTCGTCCAGAGTAATATACTTTGGGTAGCAGAAGCTTTTTCACATTTTTTTTTTAAATTTTTGTTATCTGTAATGCATTTCATCTCATTTAGCAGATGATTGAATATTTTCTTACCATTATAAATGAAGGAACTCTCAACTTTTGAAGACACTGGGATTGGTAAACGTATGTTGAGTATGTTTCTTGTATTGATTTGGCACGTACCGAAAATTTCATTCTTATATTTTTTGCATCAAACATACCGTCTTTAAAATAAAAATGCAAGGTAATGTCAAAATATTTTATTTTACGAATAATGGTCTGCAAGAATTCCTAAATTTAGCCTTACACATACAGAGGAGTGCACAAAAAACGGCCAGGACTGTAACTTTTGAATTATTCGAGATAGGGTTTTGAAAATTGGTGGGCAGCTAGTATACCAAATTGGCCATCAATTGACGAAACAATTTTTGTTCTATCACTTCCGGTTACACTATGGAAACTTTTGATTTTTAAATGGAACACCCTGTATTGTATTCCATAATCGGTTAGGGATAGTCACAACGAATTCATCGATACTGGGTTTGATAGGGTTATTTCGAACGATTACGCAGATATTCTCGTTCTAAGTTTCCATATGTTCAATGAGTGTGACAGAGAAAGAAGTTTTGATATTGCGAAGTCACACCCATCGAGCATATGGAAACTTCGAACGCAAATATCTTTGTAATCGTTTGAAATAACTCTATCAAACCCGGTATCGTTGAATTCGTCATGATAATCCCTAACCGATTATGGAATACAATACAGGGTGTCCCATTTAAAAATCAAAAGTTGGGGTCGTTTCAGGTGAAACTGAAAGTGATAGAAGAAACATCGTTCCATCAATTGATGAGCAATTTGGTATAGTTGCTACAACACCAATTTTCAAAACCCTATCTAGAATAATAATTCAAAACTTACAATCCTGACCGTTTCTTGTGCACTTCTCTCTATATCTAACTCTTTTTTTTTTTGTAAAACAAATGAGCATTTTCCACAGGCTAGGACAACATTGTGTCTTAGAGTATTTTGACCCGTTGGTTGTTTGGAGTATAATATTCCACTGTTGTTCGACCTTACAAGGTTCAACCTGGTTCAACGACGTTCCGATCCTAGTCGGCTGCGCTAAAATGCGAACAAAAGACGAACAGAAGTCAACCACCCGGGGCCAGACAGTGGATGGAGAATTTCCAATCCAAATAGGGGTGGCTGCGGGTGGAAGACTGGTCCAGACCCTACGAGGGTCAAGAATCTCGTTTTCGGTGCATCGACATATTATACAGGGTGTCCCTAAAACGTTTTTACAAAAACTTAGCACATATTCATCAGACCAAAACGATTCGATGCAAGAATACAAAGTTGGTTAGGTTTTTGCTCGAGTATTTTAGAAAGCGCAAATTGTATTTCAGAATTGTCACTTATTTCAGAACAGCACCAAATTTCTCTACTAAATACTAAAAATCCGATCACGGATACAGATTTTACAGGGATGACCCGACAACCTCTGTGTCACCTGACATATTTTTGTTTCCTTCTCGATTTTTTCTTAGGATGCAAATCCTCGTGCGAATCCAAATTAGTGGTTGAAGTATATATACACCAACAATAAACACGTGTTCCACCTACATAGTACTGAAGTGCGGATTTTTTTCCATAGATTAACGAAAAAATACTCAACATTTACCTACTTATGTCAAAGAAAAAACATAAATAGATGAACTGAAACGAACTGTCAGTGAACTAAATGTAGGTAGGTATTCCAACAAAAACAGAAGCGATGTTAGTAAAAATAGATACAGATTCTGAATTCTAATCATTATTAGTACATCGTTAACAGTTCGAAATTTGTGGAGACGATTTAGGAACAACATCTGAAGTTCCAAGTTCCAGAATAAAAGAGGATAAGTAAAAGAAATAAACTGTGGTAAAACCAATTCCAAAATACAGGTAGGTAGGTGAAGTCATGGGTGAAGTAGATAAGTAGAAAGAAAGTACCTATAGGTCCAGGTATACTCGGAGGTATGGGTATACAGGGTGATTAAAAATTCGATATAAATATTTCAAGGATCAATTGTTTGGATCAAAATAAGACTTTTTCTTTATATAAACATGTATCCTGAAATTCAACCCCTCCAAGCTACAGCCACTATAAGTTAGGTAAAGAAAAAAGATATTCTGATTTCTGAAATTAAACAACAGATCACATCTTCTGTAAATTAGCAGGCCTCTGCCCTTCTAGACACTTTATTTCATTATTTCTTCAAAAATTATGCAAACCCATTTTAGGGCATATGTTATTTATATGAAGAAAAAGTCTTATTTTGATCCCAACAATATGTACTTAAAATATTTACATCGAATTTTGAATCACCCTACATCGAGCCCTACATAGAGGTACCTATACATCATCAACAAAAAACGATTTATTTAGGTCGTACTTGATAGGTACTGAAAATGCCATAGTATCTACCGATTGAGTCCGAGGACACCAGAATATTCACCTTGAAACTGAATAATACTGTTCAGGATGACAGGTAGAAAACAGCTGGACCCTATAGGCTGCACCCTTCAATATGGACATTTCACTATTCAATTTCAAGGATGCATAAGGCCAATATCTACATATTGATACTAGAGTAAAATATTACCTAAAGTGAAATAAGTAAATTATATGAGAAATTATATAATTATGCAACAAATATCCATTTCCAATATGAAAAGCACGTTTCTAGTTGCCACCTATTGACTGTGTCCTTGTGAAATAATTATTATTTAACTTGTAACATGTTGGTACTTAATTCATATTACACGTGTTCTGTGTGCTCAAAATCTTTATACGCAGATAACATCAGAAATCGAGAAATTGCATGATACCATGTCATCAAAATGTAGGAACTAGGAACGGAATTCACTGGTGATTCATTTGTGTTCGAATATTCATTCTTCTTTTTCTTATCCTATCCTCTAGGTACCTACTTATTTATACGACCAATATTTTTTTTCTTTTGAAGTCAAAAAGTGATCAACTCTCCAGTGCTTGGAATCTTGATATTAATTAGGAACAAAGAACACAATGAAAACAGGCAATAGTAAAATTGAAAAAACTCCATAAACTTAATTAGAACGTGCTCGATATCAAATGCCAACAGAGTAATGCAACTAATTGCAACAATTAATAATCATTTATATTGTGTCCACACACACAGACAAAATGGCACCCATTGTCCTAATAAAATGAAAGAATATTTACAAATCTCACCTTTATGTTGGTGCCAGATTTCTCCACGATTTCCTCGAATGCTATATAACAACACTATTCGAGGAGTTCATCATCGTTTCATTGCACATCCTGGAAATTTTTGGAAAAGTTGTATGCACTTGCAGAACAGATTCACTTTGTTTTGCTCAATTTGACAGATCGCAGGTTCACTTGAAACTAGTCAGCTGTTGAGTGTTGACTTGTTCGTTGTTCGACGTTCGAACTATTCGTGGTGGGAGATGTGATTTCATGCGCGCGATATTCGAAATCTGCAACGAGAAGCGCATGTCAGAAGAAAATTGATTACGATTTCATATGGTTTGAATTGAACAAAGAGACCTTCTTCAAATAACAGCGATCAGCGATATGATTATTGATGAATAAATGAATGAATGTTGATGCTGAGAGTTTATATCATGTTTATACAAAATAACAGAGTGATCACATTTTTCTGCAGACATTCTCTGGGGTTGATTCCAACTCGATACGATGCAGAAACCCTTATAAAAATCTGATATTTTGCATTATTATATTTTTTTTCTTTTTTATCGCTCCTAGCGCACGAAAGAGCTAGAAATCCCATTATGTTCTAATTAGGTACAGAAAGGATAGGAAGAGGAGGTAGGTATTGGCTTCTTTTTCAACTGTTTATTCGGATCCCAAAAATGTTTCTATGAGATCATTGTCGTTCTAGATGACAACCTATAGTTAGGTATGTAGTTAGTAGGCAGGAGCTATACCTATCCTCGCACTAGGTTGCCTCACAGAACTAAAACACAGTAGTTATGTAGGTCGCCTACTAGGTTTTCATTTAGATCGACAATAGGTCGCGTGCAAGAACTGTCAGATGACCGACCCTGGAGGCAAAACATATTTGTTTACAAGTGATCGAAATAGTTTTCCACAATTATTTTGGCATATGAATCGTATTTTTTCACTATTCATCAATTCGCTAATGCCATCACATTGTGCTGTTGTAAAATGCACAAAAACTGCAGCGGAAGATGAAAAAATCCGGATGGTACATTATGATTCAAAAGTAAGTACCTACTATAGTCACTCACATAGTTTTCATTTTTGAAATTTGGTTATTTCTCTGATTTCTCATCGGAATTCCTTCTGCAATAGGATCAGCTAATAGAAATATACCTAAAATTTCTAGAATAATGCAAGAAGATTGGATTCATGCAATCAATCGGTAGGACTGGTCTGACATGCTGACGATCGTGTGTGTTGTAGACATTTTCAATCTATTAGCAGCATTAGCTTGTATTGCAGAAGTGGCAGAAGGCAGAAGGAATTTTAATAAGGAATGACAACATTTCATAATGCTAACTATGTGAGATTACTATTTACCTGAAAAATCATATTCCCTAGTCTCTTGCTGCATTTTTTGTGCATTGTACAACAGCACAATGCGAAGGCATGCTTGAATTAATGAATAACGCAAGAAACACGATTCGTATGCCAAAATATTGTGAAAAACTATTTCAACCTTTGGATTCCTCTGTGAACAAATGAAAAAGTGAGGTTGTGTTCCAATAATTCACAGAAGAGTGAGGTTGTGTTTCAATAATTCACAGAAGAATGAGGTTGTGTTTCAATATTTTGCCTCCAGGGTCGGTCTTCGTGCACGCGACCTATGATGAGATACTTATTACTTCTGTGAAATGTAAACAAGTTATAAAATCCTGAATAAACGATATTATTATTATTCTGGAGATTATATAATTTCTTGGGATGGAAATACCTCCTTTGGGCAATGATCGAGATTCACTGATGAGATTTCTGAAGAAAGATTTGAAAATTCTACGAAACATCTACCACCATCTACTTCTTCTCAAATTTAGCCCCTGGGAGTCCAGGCCTACTTGCTACAAAAGCCACAGTCTCATGATTCCGATTCCACTTGTCATGAGTAAAAATTAAAATTGTTTCGTGGTTCCATGGTTTATGTCACTCATGATAAAAATAGACACCTTTATGTCACTTGTCACTGAGATCTTGTCACATTGTCAATTGTCATTGTCTATCTCCTTTTCACGTTTTTACTTTTTTGGGTGTTTGAAAATCAAATTTATTTCTTTGGCTATTTATTCCTGAATTCCTAATTAAACATTATTAAATAATAATATCTTCAGGTAGGTGTTATTTCTATTATCATTATGTTAGCATATCCAAGTGTCTAATAAATCTAGGAAATTCAATGTTGATCATTTTGGGGTTAGGGAGATCAAAATCCAAAATTTGAATTTTTTTTATCAGAACCTTCTCATTATTACATTTCCTTGATGACGTTGCTTTTGAAGGCTAACTTCTACTAATTGATCATTTTTATAAAAACATTTTGATATTTACAGCATGTCTGGCAGAGAAGGTGGCAAGAAAAAACCACTTAAGGCTCCTAAGAAAGACTCAAAGGACCTTGATGAGGAAGATTTGGCTCACAAACAAAAACAGAAAGAACTACAAAAAGCATTGCAAGATGCAAAAGCCAAGGCATCCCAAAAGGGACCTATGGTTGGTGGAGGCATCAAGAAATCAGGAAAGAAATGATAGGACAGAAAGTGTAATAACAATTTTGTTTATTAATGGACCTTAACTTATTATGAATATTTGGATGAAACTAAATACATTCTTTTGCAAATAGTTTTATATCACTTATGTTCCATACAAGAACATAATAAATTTCATATTTTTGAAATATTTACCCTGGAGTAAAGTAGTTAAATAAATAGTTATAATTCTTTTAGTATCTCCAAAGTAATAGAGTAAAAACTGAAATGAAATGGCAAAACTATTCACATAACTGAATATTCTACTCATTTGGCTACTGTCATGTTATCAAACATTATATACAGATTATATTCCAGATAACAATGAGAAGGAATTTGATTCTCATCATGAGAATACTGACAAAATAAATTTTGACTCTGTAAAAATTTTGTACTGAACAAGTTCAACATAACATTCTATAACTAAATCAATAATTCAAGAACTGATTGGTGAATTCGTCTGGGAGCTACTACTACCCTCCAAGTTTTCACAATCATCATGTTTCACCAAAGGTTTTCTACATACAAAAAACACACTATCATACTCATATTGCAACATTGACTTTGGGTTTTGGCAATATTTAGTTTTGAACCCTGTTTGGCACTTCTCAACCACAAAACCTACTTTCTCAATTACCTTCATCACAATCTGGAAACTGGGCTCAATACTGTCTGAGGTTGTGGTATCAGAATAATGATACAACAAGGGGCCCAAATTCACCCAGAGACCATCAGGTCGGAGTATTTGGTATATTCTTTCAATAAAATCTATAACATTTGGGGCACAATCTATGAAAAAACATGTAGCCACACAATGCCATTCATTGGGCTTAGTGTACACATCCAGAAAATCACCTGCAGACATAGAAAATGTACTCTCTGGTGTTGGCATGGGTATAACATCAGGAAACCTAAAAAAAAATTCAATTTACTCAATACAGATTCCACTTGGAATAGTCCTTAAATAATCTGAACAGAATGTGAGCTGAATGAAATTGGATCTGGGAACAATATTGATCAAATTTCTACTTGAAAAAGTTCAATTTTACTTCACCTACCTGACACTAAGCCTTTGATCTTCAATCTTAGTATTATTGCAGTACTGATGTATCCAGGGATACACCTCATATTCATCCACTTTTTTGCACAAATTCAGCACAAAAAATGACATCAAGAGCATAAACAAGTTGAACTCATTGCCCTGACAAGCAAAACCATTTGATGCTATCTCAAATGCTAGCCTTCCAAGGCCAGCTCCAGGTACTAGGACAGTAATATCACTACGTTTGTACTGCTCTTTTGGGTAATGGGTGAAGATTTCTTTGACGATTGGGCCATAGCATTGGTCACGTTCTTGTGCCCCCAGACTGCTCCAATCTCGCATTAGTTGCTTGAAAACTGATTGTACCTGAAGAACAATCAAAAAGATCAAATACTCCTCCAAGACCATGTTGAAATTTGAAAATCACTATGAAGAAACCTTATAGGTAGGTACTTTATAGAAAAATACCTTATCAAGGCCTTCTGATAATGATCCTACTTCTTGTTCTGAATGAGAAGGGCAGTCATTGGCAAATACATTTTCAAATATGCAATGTGCATCCCTCAAAACTTGAGGGATCAAGCTGGCATTTTGTTCAATGCATCCTTTCAATGACTCTAGATCTTCTTTGTAGTCTTCCAGCCATTTCTGGTGGTGAAAAGGTAGATTGTCATAGCATCTTTCTCTGTGTTGGATTCTTAATAGGGATTGTTTCCTAGAATGAAATATCGTTAGTCCAAAGCTGAACAGAGATTTGTTTCTAACCTGTAGCTCTTGAAAGTATTCAGAACAGACAAAAAGTAAGCTCTTTCTTCTTTAGCTCCCTCACCGTTCATTGTTGTAATGAATTTGATCGATATTATCCAAATAGATATCAGATCAGAGAAGAATTGGAGGTTTAGGAATATGGAAAGTCATTCAAATCTTTGATAGTCCTTCCCGTTAAAAAAAATAGAAAGATAAATTATCAAAATAAAAACTAGAGGGTAGAGACTAGGTTATGTCAGTTTTTTTCAGAAGCTTAATGATCTAAGGTCAGAAGTCAGAATCTTCAAGAGTTCAAGGTTGGTAGAAGTGATGAGTGAATAATCAGCACTACCAACCTTGATATAATTTGTTGCCATCTTTTGATAACTGGTTGAACATTCAGCATCAGCGCAGATTTCTGTGTTTTTGAGAATCGACCAGTATCATTACAGGAAACTTTTCTCTCGCTTGGCAATTAGGGCTTACTTGAGTGCTGCTATCTGTATGTTACTGGTTGAACGTAATGTATCAGCTCAGATTTCTGTTTTTGAGAAGATACTGGTATCATTACAGGAAACTTTTCTCCAGCTCGGCATTTTCCGCTTTGAGCTTTGACATTTGACAGTTCAATCTAAGACTTGGGAATCGCAGATTTTCAGATGAAATGAAAATAAAGATTACTTCGATCTATTCGATCCTAGAACATATTCCATATAAATTATTGTGCTAAAATGATTGTCAAATTGAATTTAATTGCTGCTGCATGTGAAAACATGGGAATCGGAAAAAATAACAATCTGCCCTGGAGACTCAAGTGAGTTCTTGAATTGACTGGATACTCAACACTGCCCACTGCTGTAGTAGCTGTGTTACTTTCCATATTTTTCAGAACTGAAATGGAGTTTTTCACTCGAATGACTACAAAAACAGAAGATATCAACAAGAAAAATGTGGTTATAATGGGACGAAGAACCTGGGACTGCATTCCCAAAAAATTCAAACCTCTGAACAACAGAATTAACATTGTTTTGTCCAGATCAGATCTGGATTTAACAAATTTCACTGATGTTTATGGGTTCAAGAGTCTTGAAGAATGTATTGAGAGACTGGAGGAGGAGGAGTTTCAAAAATTGTATGAAAATGTATGGGTTATTGGTGGAAGCCATATTTACAAGGTAAAATATATCATCTGTAAAAGTAGTTATCACATTTGATCTTGCTACAATATTTGGAATGGGTTATTAGTTTGAAAATGTAGGTACTCTCCAATTTCCAACATTGATTTTGGCTTTTCAGGAGTCAATGGAATCAGATAATTTCTACAGATTGTACTTGACCAAAATACTGAAAGACTTTGACTGTGATACATTCTTTCCAAAATTGCCAGACAACTTGAAACAAGTTAGGTGAGTTATTTCTTCATGATTTATCATTATTATGATTATTCCCAATTCACCATAAACAATAACACGTCGCCCTACCTGACGGCAACAACTTGAGAACTCCTCAGAAGTTTGTTTTGACACCAATAAGCACAAACAAAAAACAAATCTGAATCAATGAAAACAAAATAAACAGGCCGCTTTGATAGCTTCCCAGAACTCCGATAGGTGGCGCACGCTTATCTTCTATCGCCAATACAAAATAAGCGTACGCCACCTATCAGAGTTCTTGAAAACTGTCAAAGCAGCATGTTTACTTTGTTTTCATTGGTTCACATTTGTTTTTTTTTTGTGCTAATTGGTATCAAAACAAACGGCTTAGAAGTGTTCAAGTTGCTGCCCTCAGGTGGGGCGACGTGTCATTTTCTATGGTGAAATGTTTTCACTCTCACCAGTTGGCACTACTAAAATGTGAGGTTAGAGTCAAAGTCAGAAACCCCAGAATTTTGTTTTTGTTTCATAGAAAAGATTGGACAAAAATTATGTTGAATATTTAGGATAGAAAACTTCAAGTTATCAAAAGGCATGAGCCCTCTTACCAATAATGTTAGCCTGCATTGTTTAAACATTTCTTCAATGTTTTCAGTGATCCAGAAGTTCCAGATGGTATACAAAATGAGAAAGGCATTGAGTTTGTTTATAATGTGTACCAAAATCCAACCTTCCAAAACTAAAATCCACCAGACAATTCCAGAAAGTACTTTTAATCATAAGATGAAAATATATTTTTCCACTAAGTAATTTTAAGGTAACCATGCAACTTCGTTCATTCATGTGTGATTTGCTCAATGATACTGATATGCTGTTAAATAAAATTGTTTTGCTATTGTAAAAGATTTATTCATTTATAATCACCACTCAACATCATCACATTTCAAGATATTCATAGACATATATTGAGCCAAACAAAAAATGTGATGTTTATTTACATTTATCTGTACAATCTCGGAAAACGGGAAATATTTACAATAAATTTGGATTTCCAGAGATAACAATGTGCAAAACACTTCAACTATGTGGAGATAACTATAATGTATCAAAAAATATATACAAGGTGCTCAATATAGCAATATCTTTCACTTAAACCTAAAAATTATAAATAATGCTTTTGAATACAAATTAAATCTAGCTTGTCAAATAATAAATATCAGTGACTATCACCCTATCATGCCAACAAGAAACGTCTCCATATAAAAATATACCAAATGAAGAAAAGACTACTTATACTCTGAAATCACCATTGTAAAATCTGCAGGGGTTAACCTTGAAAATTCCCCACAACTCCTCAAAATATGATTATTTTCCGAAATAATAAGGATTTTCTTTCGTGCCATCTAAAAAATCACATTTTATTTCTCTAATTTCAAGAGGGCTAGATTAAAATATCGAAATTGGAGCAGCAGTACCATTTTTATAGATAATCAAAACTCATCAGGATCATATTCTTGGGATTATTTAGCTTTGCCAATGGGAGTATTCCCAAGAACTCTCTGTCCTCCCTAGGTACGCGCGATGTTCCACGAAATTATAGGAATTTCCTTTCCTACGCTCCAAGAGATGAAAAAAAAAAAAGTATATTATTCGACAGGCATATAATGAGGGCTGTTATTCACGACGGTTGAGTTGATAATCAACCTGAGTGAATAATAGCTCATTATATGCGAGTGGAATACTATACTTTGTCAACGACTACTATTGTCTTTGATATAAGTGAATAAAGTGAAACTTTGTTCCTTTTATTCGTTTTCGGTTCCGTCGAGTGTCCACAGCCAAAGTTATTATACCCATGTTCACACTAGATTCATCATTTACGTCATCGTTTTCCGCCAAATATCTCTAGTTGCTGTAATTCGAAAATAGAAATGATTTGAATCATTTCAATTGTCATTATTTTTATCCACTTTGATGAGTTCTACACCATGTTAAAAAAAATGCCTCACCATCAACAATAAAGGATACAATTATTCCCTACCAATATCCTAATTTTCATGAACCATAAAAAAAATCAATTTCAGTGTAATAATATCGGGTTTTCTTCATTCGATACCTATTTTAGGGAGGTTCCCAATCCGATTGTTCTGGCTAAATCGCCTCGCTGATGGATTCCTGACACGAGTGCGGTAACTGGTGGTTTTTCAACCTCGTGCTCATCTGCCTGTCGCCGATATTCGTCGCCTGGTTCGACCAATCGCCGGTTTGGACGATCGTCCTGTAGAATTTCGAGGTGGTCTTGTTGAATATCGGCAGCAGTTCGTTTGCTTCGTTAGATAGCGCCTTTAAAAAAAATTTATTTCACAATTCAACTCGGTAGGATACTGTTTATGGAATAACATCACTCAAACTCTAGTTCATTTCAAGATCTTTTATCATGAACTAACTTTTCCAAAGTAAAATATCCAGTACAGTGTAGTTTCGTTCATGTCAGCTCGGTTCATAGACATCTAAGTTCCTGTAAAATTGCAAAACGCTTACCGTGCGAAACTACCTAGGTGAGCAATACCGCGCCAGGTAGCGGCCATTCCCATTTCCAAATATTGCCAACCAAGCATTGATTTTCAATATACCATTTTAGTATCGTGGCATTCATTATTTATTATTCGTTCACTATGCCACTTTGATGTTGTGACATCTTCACTCTGGGTTTGCTGCCCCATAAATGATGTAAGTATCGAAAAAAACATTCTCTTGTTTCTGTTCACTAGTTTTGTGCTCGTTCTTTGCTGTTCCGCCATTTTGACACGTTTTCATGTTTTTCTTGATTTAATAAATTGTTTGGTGTACTTTGAAGAACAATTCTCTTTATTTCGGAAAGAATGTGGTTGGGTCACGCTACATATTCAGTTTGTCATAACAGTTTTCAAACAAAACCTGAATAATAAGAAACCGAACGAACCTTGACTTCTTATAGGTGTTGGAAAACAAAAAATATCAAAATCTCAACGCACTGTATATACAGGTAACGAAGCGTTTGCGGACATATCTTTATACTGAATTTTGAAACACTCTGTATATTGCCAATGAATTCTGTGACAAAATTGTATATTCGTTTGAAAACAAGTAAGTAAGAACTGTGGAATAACAAACTCAAAATATCATATGGCACTAGGACAAATATATACAGTGTGTCCCACTTACCATGCTCACAATGGGTATCTTTTTAACGGTGAGAGGTACGAGGTCGGTTAAATGACACCAAATGTGGAGTTTGTCAAGGCCAACTATAATGTGAAAAAATATTTTGATGAAATCTATTCGTTTTTGTTTTATACGCAAAAGACAGATTTTGATCATTTTCATGTCTCCTCGGTAACTTCTTCATTTATGATAAGATATTCAAATAGGAATTTCACATTCTCATGGCAGTTTTTCGAAGTGATTCCGAAAAAAATATGAAATTTGTACCAACTCTTCTAGAATTTGAGATATCAGCACCAACTTTAGTTTTTCAAATGTAGGTCATAGCTCACTATGACTTAGTTACAAATAACTTTTTTTTCTCTTACAGATGATATGTCGCAGTAAAAGTTTTGTGTTGATAACAAAGGAGTTATCGTCATTTATACAAAAACAAAAAATTATTTGGAAGCTGCCATCTTGAATATATAAATTTTAACAAAGAAATCATGATCTCCGACCACAAAAACCCCCACTTACCAATTCTGAATAGAATCGGACCAACTCTTGTCCGCCATCTTGAAGCAGCCATTTTTTTAATTTCAACAAAAATTCAATAATGTATTGTCACCGAAATTATGAACACCTGCCAAATTTCAAGTTAATCGGAGTTATGTAATTTTTGTTGAAATTTAAAAAAATGGCTGCTCCAAGATGGCGGACAAGATTTGGTCCGATTCCATTCAAAATTGGTACGTGGGGATTTTTGAGGTCGGAGATCATGATTTTTTTGTTGAAATTTATAAATTCAAGATGGCTGCATCCAAATAATTTTTTGTTCTTGTATAAAGGACGATAACTCCGTTGTTATCAACACAAAACTATTACTGCGACATATGATCTGTAGGAGAAAGAAAAGTTATTTGTAACTAAGTCATAGTGAGCTATGACCTACATTTGAAAAACTAAAGTTGGTGCTTCCCAAATTCCAGAAGAGTTGGTATTGATTTCATATCAATCAAAAACTGCCATGAGAATGTGAAAGTCCTATCCGAATAGTTTCATGAATAAAGAAGTTACGGAGGAAACATGAAAATGATCAAAATCTGTTTTTTGCGTATAAAACAAAAACGAATAGATTTTATCAAAATATTTTTTCACATTATAGTTGGCCTTGACAAATTCCACATTTGGTGTCATTTAACCGACCTCGTATCTCTCACCGTTAAAAAGATACCCATGGTGAGCATGGTAAGTGGGACACACTGTATACTGGACGATGAATCTTCTACAAAAACTATCAGTATTTCTATTGATTTCTGAAGTAATTCCGATTTGAATTTAATCAATCTGTGTAACATTTCAACATTGTTTCAGAATGTTCTATTTTTATTTCTGATTTATTAAATTTTTTCCTTTCCATCTCCTATTACTGATGGTAATTATCAAGGTGAAATAGATTTTTTCTTACATCAGCAAATGTGATCCGTTAGAAACAATGATAATGTAGGACAGAATTCATGAATCTTAATATTGAATTGTTCACTGATCATCATAATTTTTCATCATTGAAAAAACATTTACACTCTGAGTACTTTTAAAAAATGTTTGCTTTGTGATGAGTGATACATGTTGATTCATTAAATAAAACGTTTCTTGGAAAACACTTAAGGTTGATAATTTATGTTAAGGCAAATACATAACTGTCTAGCTAGCCATGATAATGAAATCCGCTAACTTCTTAATTGTTATGAAAACTACTTCTAATAGGTAACAATAATTAATACTTTGATAATAACAAAAAAAAACACTTATGCACTACCAAACCAATATTCTACATGAGATTCTGAAATATGACGATTTCTTTTAAAGTTATCAAGATTCATGTATATTGGGAATCGCTGTGCTAAAAAGAGGGGTTCAAATGCGTTGTTATGATAAATAAAGAGAAAAATATAAACAATGAGATTCATAAGACACATTTTAATGAATTTTCCATCATTTCCGCAAATTTTTGCGAAATTTATGGGACAAACAATAGGGAAGACCACTGAGAGAAGAAATCCGTGCAAACCTCTTTCAATCGACGAATCATGATTTACGTTTGATGTACAATCAATATAATGAGTTAAAGTTGAAGGGAATCGAATCTATATCGTTTTGAAATCAGCATATATTATTTCATTCGATATTTCAAACAGCCAAATATGATGGTGGAGTCGTGACGTATTAGTCCCGACCTGTGGCTATCTCTCTCTGATACCTCGTCATTCTGCAGTGTTGCAGTGTGATTGGTCAGTTCAAGGACAATAGGCGTGTTGGGAATAAGACGTCGCACCAGTCACACCAATGAATTGACAACATTTCAAATGGCGCAGGAATTGTGTGTTTTGAAATGAACATATTCTAATTTATTATTTTCATCGTCTTAGCATGAATGACGAAATTCAAAATTATTTCGCTGGTAGTTTGTCAGTATAGAGTTCACGATAATGTCATTTTAAAAAATCAGTGGTCTCCCCCATTGGATGGCTGCGGCGCCGTCATTTCAATTAATTCATTACTTTCTTGATCTATGCCTCATGAACATTTGATAAAGATACTTCCAGTTTATGTACCGAAATGTTTGCTATTCTAATTCAAAACGACCTTCTACTTCCTAAGGGCATTTATTCTCTTAAAAATCTTGGTTGAGTTGGGTCCCAGCGGTCATGACAGCGCCATATTCATCACCATCATGTTATCAGACATACGAGTAAAAGAAGACACAAATGAGTGCGCGAAATGAAAAAAACTGACATATGAGCTCTAGGAGAGGAAGATCTGACAGACGAGGAGCTACCGACGAACATAAAAACGAACCAAAACGACTTATTTACCATCATGTAACGATATATGAGTAGAAGAAGAAGAAACAAATGAGTGCTAGAAGTAGATAATGTACAGACGAGCTTCCTAAGATTATAAAAATGGACCAAAACGACGACAAATCAGTGTGAAGAGTAGAAAAAGTGAGTGCAGGAAGACAAAAAATAAGCTTCCTATGAACATGAAAACATGTAGACGACCTTCTACTTCCTAGATATATATTTTTGAAAGAAAAAAAAAGATGAGGCAAATGAGTACGGAAAGACAAATAATTACTAACCTTCATATAGACGACGGCATCGGTGCCGTGACCCTCGCACGACATCAGCACCAAATCGCCGTGGAAATACCTCGCGTACAGTCGGGAGATCGGCAAGCCGTACCCGTACCCCGCCAGAGGGACGGTGTGCGCGTCCGATTTGCTCGGTTGCGGCGCCGTCGAGTACATGTACTTGAAGAGGTGGTCGGTGGTGGAGCGCGGAATGCCGCCTCCTCTGTCAGACATCTGAACACAACGATGAATTAATTTATTAGCGTGTGTAGAACAAGAAGGAAAAGTATCGAAATCATGTTTCGACCGTTCAAAAGGTCATTGTTAGTCAATATTGCATAAGTTCAATGTGGATCAAGCCTTAACACCATGAAGTCAAAAAAACAGTAAGAATTTTCTTGTTATGTTCTGGTTTCCACGAAAAGGGATATCCTTCATGCAATTTGCTCATGTAATGTACCAGCAAAGGATGCATCTTCAACCGTCAACAGATTCCTATAGGCTTTATCATCAGAAGTTTAGAGTAAATAATTCAGAATTAGATGAAGGTAATCGTAATGCTCTTGATGTAATGTATATAATTCCGCCGAAGGCTGATGAACCATCCTAGAACAGGTTAATGTGACGCCTGCCTGCGGAGTTTTTTTTTTATGTTCTGGTTCCCAGGTGGTCAGGGAGCCGTGCGGACACAGTGTCTATTTTCTAATCCGCATTCGCTTGCCGGTTGTGGGTTCGATTCCCATCGACTGCAGAAGTTTTTCTGATGGCCCAAGAAAGTGTTTGGGATCACACGTTAAAAGGTAAGGCCCCCGTCATTCCTTGCTCGCACAAGACTCTCGAAGACTTTGGGTTGGGTTGGGTTGCTCGTAAGGGGGCAACCGAATGACGGATAGAACAATTTTAGAACAATTTCCCACGAGAAGGGATATCCAATGTTCAGAGAACATCGTGAGAACTAAGGGAAATGAGGTAGGAATTGGTGTTTTTAAATTTCTGGAGGTTATATGCATTGGGGAACAACTCCCTTGGTTATGTGTTCCAGAGCCTCGCTGTTCGTTGGATGAACGAGTCTTTGGAAAGAGATGTTCTGCAGGTCTCCAAAGTGACCACGTGGTGGTGCGAAGCCTCAACTCGACGGGTTAATCTCGCGGGGACTGCCAAGGGAGGCACAATTGTTGATATTTCAGAAGAGCATCGTCCATGAAAATATCTATAAAATAGAGCCATATCGCCAACTCTTCTACGGTGTTCCAGAAAAGTGAGTGAGTTTGTGAGCGAGGCATCAACCACGAGACGAATTGCCCTTTTTTGGACAGAATCCAACAGTTTCGGGTGTGTTTGGGTGCTGCACTGCAAATATGAAAACAGTATACCAGGACAGGTCGGATCTGCGCCTTATAGATCATAAGCAGCTGAATGGAAGTGAAATAGCTCCTGGCCCGAAACAGAAAACCAAGTTTTTGGGATGCACTTTTACCAAGTGATCTCACGTGATTTTCCCAAGAAAGGTTATTGCTGATAGTAATAAGTACCAAGCATCGAAATGGATGTCTTCAAAGTTATGGTTACTCTTGACAAGCTTATGTTGGGCACAGTGAGTTCGGCTTTTCTAGAGAAAAGGCATGCTTATTGTGTTTTGTTTGCATTGAAATCTACCAATAATGTGAGTAGAAATGTTTCATATGGTTTGAAGGAAAGGCAAAGAGCCAATTTCTCCTAAATTTCATCTGGAAATAGTGGTAAAATGTCTCAAAACTTTTTGAAGCAGGATTGACAGCACATATTCGCCAATAAATTTAGTGAAGACGACTTCCAGAATGTTCTTGAACATTTCAAGTGATGAGATTTGGTATTGGTGAATGATATGTAAAGAGGAGAATTTTCTCATGTTTTTCACTTCCCATATACTTCAGGTCACACCAGAAATGACTGCAGTTTTGAAATATTTACGTGAAACACATTGTATATTTCAAAAATTTTGGATTTCTTAGACAATTTTGGATTGAAATGTAACATTTACGATATTTTTGACGCATGCTTAATTTTCTTAGTCAGTTTTAATATTGCAGGAACTAGTATTCAAGAAGCTTATGTCACTGCCATTTCCTAAGAGATTATTCCGTTTTCCAAATAGAAATAACTCAAAATATTGAGCATCATGACTATTCATAGAATACTTGACTTTTTTCTTTTTTTCTTAAGATCAAATTTCACTTCAGGAAAAAATAAATGAAAGAGGAACTTGGCTCCTCCGCCATTCTTATGACGTACTTTCTGAAAATCCACATTCACACAGTTGAAATACGATTCCCTGTGCCAGTAACTCGTTGTGGACATCATCAATATGTTTAGATTTCCGGAAATTGTTCTTTGAATGCATAATAATACCTATATCATAACAGCAATGAGATATATAATAGGTTCTTCAATCCTACTTTGTCAAGTATTTTGAATAATTCCCATAAATCTCTCATTGGCTGAATGAAGCTGACTAATATTATAATATGTAATTCATAACTTGTCAGTCATTTCTTGCTTATGAATTCGTTCCTTGAGAGAACGAACCTATTTTCTAGGGAAGCGCCTAATACCTCGAGTCCGTCCACACCACTCAAAATACTGACAGACACAACAAGATGAAGGAGCCATGAGTGTCGGCTTCATTCTGTTCTGACAGATGGTAGTAAATTAGGAAGGATAGTATCATTGAATGTAGCCCATAGTGATTCATTGATTCAATGATATTTTCGTTCAGGGATCGACCTCTATTCGAGATATTTCAATGCATAAACAACAAAACCATAACCTGTCAGAATGAAGCCAATTACCCTCTGCATTCCTGCTCCGAGTGCAGTTGTGGTTATGTATGTTTTTGTTTACCAGTTCTACTTCTTCTTCTATTTTTTTCGTTCGTTAGCTATTTGCTAGCTATATTCTTCACCATCAGCTATTATCAGACTAGATTCAGAATGTACGTCATAGTTTGCCTCCCCGAAAATTAGAAATTGCTTCAATTTGAAAATGAAAACGATCGTCATTCTGTACAGCGTGGACATAAAACTTTAGAGTGCCGAACTTATTTATAATACTTAAGGTGTTGGCATTCCATACGAAAATTCAAAACCGGAACCATTTCCCGTAAAACCAGGAGACACTGGAAACTGAAAGATCTGCTAGAGCCCTCTTCTTTGAATTCAATTTACCTATAACAAATCTCATTCCAACCAAACACCAAATATTCTAAAAGTTATGACTTGTGTGATAGATTCGTGGATACTCGGTAAGTGTTCGTAGCATGTCACTTACTTTCAGACATATATCTTCTTTTCCTTTGGCCACGGTGACGGTCAACGGTGGATATTGGTCGACGGAACCGTGGTATTCCATGACCGCTCTCATGGAATTCTTGAACAATTCGAATAGAATGTGATACAAATGTGATGGTACATAGACGATGTTGATATCTTGATCCGATTCGAAATCTGAAAAGAAAAATCACCGAATGAAAAAAAAATCGTTATGAGAATTCGGCAACAAATTTTACGAAGGAAGAGTAAATGTAAACATTTTACGAAGTCTGGATATGTGAAATAAACTGCTTCACTTGAGTTAGGGATATTGTGAAAAAGCCTAATGAGCTTTCATGTTTTCCAATTAAATTTGTAAATAATTCAAGAAAGAAACTGTGTAGCAGTATATTTTTTCAAAGGATATCTAGAAACCCATCAATGCAATAATTTGGATCTGAATTTCTACTTCCGTTTTTATCGGTTGGTAAATTGGTGAAAAAAAAACTAATTACAAGAAAATAATTTTGTCCGATTCACTTACCTCGAAGATAGTGGAATGAAAAGATTTCCATTATAAAAAAATGTCTTGATTATCACTAGATATTTAAATTTGTTCCACGTCACATTTATAAATTAATCTTTATATGAAAGGTAAACATGTTCAACCATAACTCAAACCGCTAAATTCTCAGAGAAAGCAATAGATACAAATTTTCCAACTTGAATAAGGATTTTCCACGATATTCAGGCAGTTAACCTCACTTTTCAAATGCAAGAACGCTTTTTTATTCAATAGTAGACTGTACGTCACAATTTGCCGCCCCGAAAATTGGAAATTGTTTTGATTTGAAATTAAAAACGCCATTATGTACAGCGTGGACATGAATCTGAGGAGTTCCGAATTTATTTTATGAAAATGGGCGAGTTGATTGATAATGAATTATTGGCATTGAATTACTCCACTGTGTCGTTAGGGACCTAAATTAATTTTCGCAAGAGTTCTCACGCTTGTTTTATGTAAATGATTCTTGAATTTTTCGAGCAACCAGCATGTTCAAATATTTCTTATACTACATAACAAAATATCATGTAATTGTTGGAGACTTGGCAACATTGTGCTGAATGCTGATAACTGACAAGACCACGCCCACAATTCGTGCGCCGTGTTGTCACGTTTACCGCTTCAAATGCCCTCTAGTGTGGATTAATATAATTATTATTTACACATAGAACGGCTAGGCTCTGGAATTCATTGCCTGAGGAAGTTTCCCAACAACATATAATCTCCAGAAGTTCAAAAAAAATTCCAATACCTACCTCCTATCCCTATCCTCCCTAGGAACGCACGATGTTCTTTGAACATTATAGGGATTCCCTTTCGTGCGCTCCAAGCGATAAAAAAAAAGCAATAAGCCATATTACATGAGGGAACATTTTGAGTAAATTGACTTTTCATTGCTAATTAGGATTAATACTGATACATAAATGAACAAACTAATATTTCTGAAGTTCCCAATCGTATTTCAATGTACGTCAGTTTATATCTCACGGTAAATTTCTAGACAGTTTTATTACACATTGTTTTACTACTAACCAAACCGATTTTTTACACCTCAACACCTGTTTCGCTGACTATGTTAGCATCTTCAGGAGAAAATTGAGATCATTTTTAATCTAATGGACCAGAGATATTTTCAGAGCAATTTGAAAGTTTTTATAGACATTAAATTGACACAAAATATGTATTTAATAACTATCAAAGGAACAAATAAACTCAATAATAAAATGTGGATATTCTCAAATTTTCTCTTTTCTAATTTTCAAAATTTTTCATTAATTTTGCAAAAAAAATATCAAAAAGTCAATTTGATGGAGTTAATACCATTTGGCCCTAATACTTCGATGAAAAACTGTATTGAATACTTTTTTTGAAATGAAAATTGATTTAATATGGCCAATAAAATACTGTGAATGTATTTTGAATTTTTTTTTTTTTTGAGTTTTAATGATTGCAACGTCAGAAAAAGGACAAGAAACTGAAGGTAAATACTGTTGATTATTGAATATCGTTAGTTGTCTAATCAAAATGAGCTAAATTTTTATAAAAACCGTGAAAAATACTTGGAATCCAAGGCAGTAGAGACTGTACTGACTGTAGGTGGTTATAATTCTTGATCGAAATTTCATTTGCTTGCTCACGATTTTGAGATAAAAGGTCAGGAAAAACAACATGCCTGCTATCTCTTTCAAGATGGACACATTCAAATGTGGTTGCCTCAAAATGTGACTTGAAATAAAATAATACACCTATATTTTCACTGTGTGCTTGTAGGAGAACCACGTTTGACGTATGAAAATCTTCACGTTCCTCAGTTCTCTTACGTACAACAAAGGATGAGCTATAAGAAGTGTACAAATATTTAAAATCTTCAGAATCCGGTGCTTCCATATGAGCAATATTAAAAGTTTTTGACCGACAACACAGCCTTGCGAGTTGCTGCCATTCCCAGGAGTCATAATTTAAAAAAATGGGGTTCGTTTTCGTTTGCGTATGACCACGTAGCTGAAGTTTGTGATCAATCTTTTCTATATTTGGTTACTCAAAACAGTATCTAAAAATATGCCATTACCATAATCATGTTACGGTTTTGGGATTGGGAGTTATCTGACCAGATATTGATCTCTTTTACGCTCTCACTTGAAGTCTCTGCCCATTTGAGAATGCCAGAAGCCGTTTGATTTGCCCCACGTCCTGACTTGGATTCGTTCCACATAATACAGGCACTGAAAACTGTATTATGTCCTTGCATACAAATTTTCTATAACAATATCAACTTCATGATACTCTTTTGCTCGGAAAAACTGTATTTTGTCCACACATGTTAAGTTTCTTTAACAATAATAACTCCATATAATACTCTTTTGCTCGGAGAATGTTAATGATATAATACTGTTTAACCTTGGCTAACTTCGGAAGTATATTATATAGGACTTAATACTATATTCCATGTGAAAAAGCTGGTGTCGTTTAGTAGGAAGAAAACTTGATACCGATTTGAGAAAAAATTGTAGTTAATACAGTTTGGCTCTCAGGTACAGATATGTAATCAAAAGTTGAATAAATTCATCTGTCTGGCAAAAATTAGTCAACTCGCCTATTCATCGGACGGAATCTTCCCCGTTTAGTAATCTTCCGTAGGTACTCACCGGGGTGCCTGGCCACGTCGACGATGAGGTCAGGCGATGCCAGGTAGTACTGGTCGCAGAGGAACCTGGCGTTCTCGAAGGCGTCCCTGATGACGCCGACAACGTCGCACTGCGTATCGATGCAGCCGATGTACTTGCTCCTGTTGGGGCCAGGAACGTTCTCCACCTGCCCGCCGAACAGCAGCGCTGGAAACAGGTGGACTTCAATACGATTAGTATGGGTAGAACACTACATGGGGAAATGAACATGCAAGAAAATTATGGGAGGAAAACAACAATGAACATTTCGTATCTGATTTCCAGTCTCTTCAACATTTTTCGTTTTTTTTCAATAAACTTCATAACTAAACTACTCAACATTAATTTCGTCGCACACCAAAATGTCGCCCCTGTTATAATGTGAATAACTTTTTTCAGTTTAGAACAATTTGAATTTGGTTCATACTGTTCGATAGCCCAGTCCTTCAGCTATAATCTGGTACTTCATTGAAACATAAGGGTATTCACATAAAATCTCTACATGGTGTTTTCCGACACTGTGCAAAATTTCGGAATATTCAAAAGGCTCTCAAATGGTGAAAACAATTTTTTCTCAACTTCGACAACAGAGGCATGAAGATGATCTCATTACCTAGAGATATTTCGAGAATCAACTTTCTATCTCTCTTATTTACAGAGTGATCTCAAAAAATCAACTTTTTGGTTTTTCAGCCATACCTTTTTTCCACGTCAACCGATTTTGGAAATCTTAGGCTCATTTTGAAGATAAAACTTCAGATGAAGAGATCTGGATATCAGAATTGACTCAAGATGGCTATCAAAGATCTAGAGTTTTCTTGAAAGTGACCCAAATCTGGAACGCCCTCCGAATCTCGGTTGGGAGGAGAATTGAATGAAAATCAACTTGTTCTCGGAAAAACAATTCATTCTGGATGCGTCCATATTTTCCTCACACTCAGTACTCAAGAATGTGCGTGAGAAAACACAATTGAAACATGTTCTTGCAAAAACATCAGACCATTTCTCCTCTGTAATGCATGGCCCGTAACCAACGTTACAAGAATCACAGTAAGTGACTGACAATAAGTCAGGTTAGACGTCGTTTTCAAATCATAAACAGATTTTGATAGTTTCGATGCCGCATCTAACGCCCGACCAGTTGGAACTGATTCCACAAATGAGGGAACAAGGGTTATCTTCCCTCCAAATCGCGGATCTGCTAAACACGACAGTCCGATCCATAGGTCGCGTGCAAGAACTGTCAGATGACTGACCCTGGAGGCAAAACATATTTGTTTACAAGTGATCGAAATAGTTTTCCACAATTATTTTGGCATATGAATCGTATTTTTTCGCTATTCATCAATTCGCTAATGCCATCACATTGTGCTGTTGTAAAATGCACAAAAACTGCAGTGGAAGATGAAGAAATCCGGATGGTACATTATGATTCAAAAGTAAGTACCTACTATAGTCACTCACATAGTTTTCATTTTTGAAATTTGGTTATTTCTCATCGGAATTCCTTCTGCAATAGGATCAGCTAATAGAAATATACCTGAAATTTCTAGAATAATGCAAGAAGATTGGATTCATGCAATCAATCGGTAGGACTGGTCTGACATGCTGACGATCGTGTGTGTTGTAGACATTTTCAATCTATTAGCAGCATTAGCTTGTATTGCAGAAGTGGCAGAAGGCAGAAGGAATTTTAATAAGGAATGACAACATTTCATAATGCTAACTATGTGAGATTACTATTTACCTGAAAAATCATATTCCCTAGTCTCTTGCTGCATTTTTTGTGCATTGTACAACAGCACAATGCGAAGGCATGCTTGAATTAATGAATAACGCAAGAAACACGATTCGTATGCCAAAATATTGTGAAAAACTATTTCAACCTTTTGATTCCTCTGTAACCAAATAAAAAAGTGAGGTTGTGTTTCAATAAATCACAGAAGAATGAGGTTGTGTTTCAATATTTTGCCTCCAGGGTCGGTCTTCGTGCACGCGACCTATTCAAAGGGCTTATCTCTGACACGAATTGTTTGGTTATTACTGTCGATTCGTTCGGCGCATTATTGCGAATGAGAACTTTACGTAATTGGCAAACTGTTTTCGTGAAACTTTCACCATTTTTGAAATGCGTTTTTACAATAAATAAACCTTGTTTGCTTGAATACTTCTCCATATTCTTAAATCGTATGTTATGTACGTGACAACTGTTAAAAAAATCACTCTATTGAAAAAATCAAAATCAGTTGCTCTTTTGGTACACCATTTATGATGAGCCTCAGCTGGACGGGTTTGTCAGTCACTCATTGTGATTCTTGTAGCGTTGGTTACGGCGGGCCATGCATTACACAGGAGAAATGATCTAATGTTTTTGCAAGAATATGTTTCAATTGTGTTTTCTCACGCACAATTCTTGACTACTGTGAGCGAGGAAAATATGGACGCATCCAGAATGAATTGTTTTTCCGAGAACAAGTTGATTTTTATTCAATTCTCCTCCCAACCAAGATTCGAAGGACGTTCCAGATTTGGGTCACTTTTAAGAAAACTCTAGATCTTTGATAGCCATCTTGAGTCAATTCTGATATTCAGATCTCTTCATCTGAAGTTTCATCTTCAAAATGAGCCTAAGATTTCCAAAATCGGTTGACGTGGAAAAAAGTTATGGCTGCAAAACCAAAAAGTTGATTTTTTGAGATCACTCTGTAAATAAGAGAGATAGGAAGTTGATTCGCGAAATATCTCGAGGTAATGAGATCATCTTCATGCCTCTGTTGTCGTGTCGAAGTTGAGAAAAAATTTTTTTTCACCATTTGAGAGCCTTTCGAATATTCCGAAATTTCGCACAGTGTCGGAAAACACCATGTAGAGATTTTATGTGAATACCTTTTGTTTCAATGAAGTACGAGATTATAGTTGCATTACTGGGCTATCGAACAGTGTGAACCAAATTCAAATTGTTCTAAACTGAAAAAAGTGATTCACATTATAACAGGGGCGACATTTTGGTGTGCGACGAAATTAGTGTTGAGTAGTTTATTACTAATTCCATTCTAGCAGAATTGATAGTGATTATTGATGAAAAGCTTCAGCACATAGTGGATAAGTTTGTTAACCACCTAAATGGGGCATCGCCCTAGCTTCTCAGGTGAGGTACTAGCTGTTCGTTGAACAATCTATGGTTGAACAGTGTCGAGCGCGGTTAGTACTTGGATGGGTGACCATTCAAGGAAACGCCGCGTAAGCCCGTACATCTGTAGCGGAATAGCATATATCATAGCTACAGCGACCATATCAATGAGGCCATGGATGTTGGACTCGCTAAAGATCCCTACCTCTGGTTGGAACACCAGTTTATGGCAAAATTTTCGGTTGAGGGTAGTGTGCTCACCGGCGTCGATGATTAGCCTCAGTAGCAGAAATAGGCCGACGTTAAAGAAACAAGGAAAAAAAACACCTGAATAACTCCACTTGATCGGAACCATCTCTGTAACATTATTGGCAACAGTGTCTGAAAGTTCCACGCAGACTCGCCGGCTATATTGGATATAGTTGACGTGTTGGCTATATTGTTGAAAGCCAGTGAACAGTGTGAGGAATGATCTAGTGATCGAGTTATAAGTATACTCGTCTTCCAAAAGAAAACTTCTCATAGAAAATCATCTATTGAAGTGAAAACGCAAAGAAATTAATGGGTATCTAATAGGGGGAAAGCGACGTTCTCCACCTGCCCACCGAACAGCAGCGCTGGAAACAGGTGGACTACAATACGATTAGTATGAGTAGCACGATCAGATGGACGTAGGGTAATCAAAATCATTGGGAACATGCATGAAACTGATACAAATACAGCAAATCAGTTATGTCACAACCATCTCATATACAAGCCGTGGTGAAAGAGAGGCAACACCGCATTGCCGTGATCCTACGCTGGACTGGCGACTTAGGTATACATTACAGCTAACAGCGCTTGCATAACGTGAATTTGTGGCTTTGAGATAATTAACTTGAATAAAAAATAGCAAGGAATATTGGGTCATGTGAGTCAGGTCAGGTCACAGGTCATGTTTCCTTCAGTAACTTAGATATAATGAAAAACTTTACATTGAGTGATGATTTGTGAGATACATTATAACCCTCTTTTCCTTTAAATCATCAAATGAGCTAATGCTGGGTAGTATACAAACTGAACTGTAAATCTTGTCCAAAGGTATTATATAGATCAGACAGACAGAAAACCACCGCATTCCACAAGTTCACAAGAAACAGTCAGTGCTGTAGCTTCTGAATCATTCCAGATCAGATTTTGAGAATTGGTGGTTACCAAGTATACCAAGATGCTCTCTTATTGACAAATAGTTATTTATTATACAAGGGAAAAAAGTAGGTAGTAGATTTTAGCTCCAGGTTGTGTTCTGAAAATTATCGACGTGAAATTTCAAGTTTTTAACAGTAGGGACACCTGCGTTGTAGGCATCTTCATCATTCTTTTGAAGTAATCAAATATCTGATGTCACTTCTGTCAGTCTAATTCTGTGATTTGATTTCAAAAACTTGGGAATTTAGTCGTTGTTTAGTAATATAGGTAACCGCGAAGTCGAATGGACGATAAAAGGACTTGCAGATCTTTCTCGGAGACGGTATTATTGACTCATTTTTCGGAACTATAGCACAACAAAAGCCATCAACAGTGTATATATATATACAGTATGATGCAAATGTATGGAATAAATTCATTTCAAAACAAGACGACTTCCGAAAAAAATCCAAAAAGTAGAGTTCAGAACTTTTTTATCGATGTATTTTTTCAACTAGACGACGCTTCGATGTTCAATTCTCAGTAGAAGATCTCTGCAAGATTCAGTTAACCAAATGATAATCCATTTTAATTTCAATCTCCTTTTGCAAAATTTTGACTATTGGATAGACGATCAGTAGACCTTTTAAACGAGGTGTCACATGACCCCTGTTTGTATTTGAAAAAACCGTCCATTACGTCATTACTCCAACACCGGTAACGTAACATCTCTCATATGAATGTCATGAGATGAGGTTTCAAAAATTAAAACTCACGTGTTTTTGGAATTTCTTCAAATGTCGCCCATTTCTGAAATAATGAATTTATTCCATACATTTGCATCATACTGTATATGATATATATCCGGGAAAAAAGTACTCACTTTTTTCCTACGGGAAAAAAGTAATTTATGAAAAGTGACATTTTATAACCTGCCAACAGAGATGAAATGCCAAATTTTTTCCCGTCACAGAAAAATCAATTTATGATAATTAATATATCAAAAATTGGGGTCGTTTTCGGTGAAACCGGAAGTGATAGAACAACAATTGTTCTGTCAATGAATGGGAAATTTGGTATACTTACGACCCACTAATTTTCAAAATCCGATCTCGAATGATTCAGAAGTTATAGCCCTGGCCGTTTGTTGTGCACTTCTCTGTATATTAGAATAAAATCCTAGTGTTGATGACAATTGCGAAATTTTATATGAAGAAAAACTTATTCATTTGGAATCATTGCACACTTTTGGAATTGATTACCCACACTGTGTTTTTGATTTGTTAAGAAATAAATGTTAGAAAAAGAATATATATGATGAAATGAAAGCATTCACATGGATTATTAACACAACAGGTATTGTAACACTAATCAATCACTACACGAAAACTTACCCATAGATTTTTTTCTTTTACACCTAATAGAACTAATTTATTTTTCTTTAATCGATCTCAAAAAATATAGTTCATAGTTCCAGATGAAAAAAGAACAAAGGATGCAAATATATTTTTAATGGTATGATAAAACATGTGTTTAAGCCCTGATAGTTGGAAATTTTAGCAAGACAATAAAATACTATTTGTTGGGCCAGTAAAATTTAATGATGTATTCATGATAAACATTACCTGAACAATTAAAAACTAATGGAAACTTTCACATGAACCAAAACATGTAAATCTATGTAAATACTCCTGTAAATATACTCCATTAACAATAAACTGTGAATAGGAATTTCAAAGAATATATTTTCATTATTTTTATCGCACTTCACCAACCAAACCGATTTTTTAACGCCTCGATACATGTTTCTACAAAATATTATCAAAACTAAATGTCCTGGAATAGGATATTTTTTAGTTTCAATCTTCTTGAGAAAAAAAACAAAAAGTCACACAGCCCAAAAACTTCCTAGCTTATGAACAATTCACTGTGTATATTATGATATAGACACATTATATAATATTATTTATAATACTGAGATTTTTATTTGTCAATTTGTCGGCAACACAATTTTGTGAACAACAAAGTGACACAACTATCTGGAATATTCAAGAACATTGAGATAATACTTTTAAAAATACCTTTTCAACCAAATAAATGAATTTTCATAACATAATAACCACTTCAAAAAGCATTTCAATATAAACACACTTTCATTTATTTATCGACAAACTACAAAGATAAAATTGTATTTTTTTGTCGTAAACAGATAAAAGCTTGAATAAAAAAATAGGTCATGATAAATATTGTGTATAGTATCAAAAGGTCCACAATGTTTCAAAACTTTCATATTCATATAGGCTCCTATTCAATCAATGTTTTCATGAGAATATGTAATGACAACAAAAGCAATGTTTTTTCTCTATTCAATAATCCTAAATGCAGGTACCTCGCAATTTTCATATGCATTTAATTATAATTGTGAATGTGGGTAGCTAAGTGTTTTTGTTTAACTAGGTACGTAAGTACCTGATAAAAATGAACATAAAATTTCCAACATTTCCATTTTAAAAATGTAGTAGAAAAGCGACTGAAAAGATACTCACTGTGCTGGTTGATCAGCATTCTGATTGAAATCCTGGACATGTAGAACCGATCCAGGAAATACTGGATACTGTGTTCCGTGTGATGATCCACGTCATGAGATTCCTTCAGCTCCAACACACCCTGAGCCATCGTTTCCACTACATCCGAATGTCTATAAAGAAAAGCAAATTATTTTTTGCATTTTTATGTTGAGAACGGGAGCGGATTCGTTCCCGGAACGTCCGAAGAAAAGTAAAAGTTCGATATTTTTTCAATATATCTTTATTTCTTCTCGTCAAACATTTTTCCAAACAAAGTGTCTCTGACAAGCTATTGGATTCTTCTTTTTAGGCTCCCTGATAGAAAAATGTGTTAAACACAGTGACATTTTGGGACAATCATCTGATTTGTCCTATTACACTTCTTTTTTATTATTATCATTTTAATGTTCAGAAAACATCGTGCGAACCAAGGGAAATAAGGTAGGAATTGGTGTTGTTCTTGAATTTCTGGAGGTTATATGCCTCGGAGAACACCTCCCTTCGCAACGTGTTCCAGAGCCTCGCTGTTCGTTGAACAAACGAGTCTTTGGAAAGAGATGTTCTGCAGGTCTCCAAAGTGACCACGAAGGGGTGCGAAGCCTCAACTCGACGGGTTAATCTCGCGGGGACTGCCAAGGGAGGAACAATTGTTGATATTTCAGAAGAGCATCGTCCATGAAAATATCTATAAACTAGAGCCGGATCGCCAACTTTTCTACGGTGTTCCAGAGAAGTGAGTGAGTTTGTGAGCGAGGCATCACCCACGAGACGAATTGCCCCTTTTTGGACCAACTCCAACAGTTTTAGGGTATGTTTGGGTGCTGCACTCCAAATATGGGAACAGTATTCCAGGACAGGTCGAATCTGTGCCTTATAGATCATAAGCAACTGACTGGAAGTGAAATAGCTCCAGGCCCGAAACAGAAAACCAAGTTTTTGAGATGCACTTCTAGCAATTGATCCCACGTGATTTTCCCAATAAGTTATTGCTGATAGTAATCCCAAGCATCGAAATGGATGTCTTCAAAGGTATGGTTCCAACAAATCGTTGATATGGAGTAGGAATAGTGTTGGTGCTAGAATTGATCCTTGCGGAACACCAGCATTTATAATAAGAGAAGTCAGATGAAACTCCGTCGACCACTACATGGAAAGACCTGTTTGAGAGAAAACTAGCTAACAGAGAACATATATTGAAATAATACTCATATTTTTATTTTATAGAAACGAGGAGAGAAAATACCAAACAATCAAGTAAAATGAATGTACCACCTCCTCAATAATTAACCTACAGACAGTATTCAAAAGAAAATTAAATTGCGCCCAATTTCGAGAAATTTATATTGAGTACATTTTCAATTCAAATGGGACAACCCTGTATTCCTTTGAAAATTTTGATAGATTTTGATATCATAGCGGGTATCATAATGACTTTGGTCACCTACTACGCCTCTTTTATTACTTCTATTGATACTAAGTAAATATCAATATCAATTTGCTTATCTGCATGGTTTTGCTCTAATGCCTAAAAACTTTCAAGTGATAGTAAAAATTCTCCAGTTTCTCGATTTTGCTGATAGCTCGACATAACAAGATCTATCGAAATGTGCAGAAATATACCTCATTTAAATAAAAAAGGTTAGGTTAGGTTAGGTTAGGTTAGGTTAGGTTAGTATTTTCGGTTGAACCGGAAGTACAATATTAACAAAAATAATCACAATTCTGTTTTACCACTAATTAAACAGATTTTACTAATATACTAGGTATGTCCACCCAACCGACACTTTAATCCTATATCACCAAACTATACAGAGGGCTATATGGAATAGGTCCATTATCCTTCTTCATAATTCAAAAATAATCACATAAGTTGCGTTTTACTTTATTGCATTTGTTTGCAAAGTTAATACATCTAGTGACTCTAGTAAGTACAAATTAGATGATTAATCCTAAAATGTGGCACCTATTTCTGAAAAATGTTTAAAACAGAGAAATAAAGGGTGTTTCAACAACAATTGAGTGCCACGTGATCATTATTGATGCGGCGTCTCTTTTCGGCCCACGTTAAAGAGATAGTAATCTGTCACGTGGTTTTCAATCATTGTTGAAGATCCGTTATAAAATAAGGTGTTTCATTAGACATAATGACACGACAAATGACAAAAAAAATTTAGAACATTTAAAAAAAGTGCGCTCCCACCATATTACATCTTTCAACTAATATTGAACGTCCGGCAACATTGCAAAAGTCATTGATACTTCCGGTGCTTGTGATCACGCCGAAAGCAAATGCTTGGGTTGGACTATTTACCTGTAGTGATCGATGATTCACAAAACTTTCAAGCTCAGCAGTATCTGCCAAAATTTTGTTTTTTCGACAATGATGGATTCTTTTTTCGTCTTCTAACATTCATTTAATTTAGCACACCGATTTCGGAAACACCCATATATATCGAGGAAAAAACAACAGGAACAGCATTTCATCCTACTTTACCTGTTTCTGATTTTCACCAGCTCGTTACAAAAGTGCTCCAGAATCTGATCGTTGGGGTCTTTTTTCTCGAACTCCATGATCTCCTGGAAACTGCGCATGTACCAATCGTTGACGGCGATGACCGAAGGCATCCGAAGCAGATTCTCCGGCAGCAAGGCTATCTCCTTCATTATGTTGGCCAGACGGACTGGCAGTTCTTTCCGCAGGAACACGAAAGATTTCTTCTCGGACGCATTCAGCCCTGAAAAAAAAGAAGAACTAGCTTTTATAATAAAAATGCAATAAAAAGAAAAAATCGTAGGAATATGCGACAACAAGAACTCTCACAAACCAATTTCGAATATAATCGGACCATAATCACAAAACTCATCCGCCATTTTGAAGCCGCCATCTTGAATATCTCAATTTTGATGGAGGAATCATAATTTCAGAACCAGAAATCCCCCCGATACTAATTTTAGAAAGAATAGAATCATGATTACAAAACTCATCCACCATATATTGAAGCAGCCATCTTGAATTCCTCAAACTAGATGGAGAAATCATAATTTCCGAACCAGGAAATGCCCAGATACCAATTTTGAACAGAATCGGATCATAATTACAAAACTCGTCCGCCATATTGGTTCCGCCATCTTGAATTCACTAATTTTGGCGAAAGAATCATAATCTCCGAGAACCCCCAGATACCAATTTCGAATAAAATCGGAACATATTGCCATCTTGAATTCTCCAATTTTCAGGAAAGAATCATAATCTACGACCCCGAAAATCCCTAGATGCAAATTTTGAATAGACTAGGATCTTAATTATTACAAAAATTGTTCGCCATATCGGATCTGCCATCTTAAATTACCCAATTTCGGTAAAAGAACCATAATCTCCGACCCCGAAAACCGCCAGATACAAATTTTGAACAGAATCGGATCATAATTACAAAACTCATCCGCCATTTTGGAGCAACCATTTTGATCACTTCTCTAACTGAAATTTCGTGATGCATTGTCACCAGAATTATGTATACTTGCCTTGAATAAAAGCTTGTAATATAATAAATCAGTTACACACTCAGAGTTTGCAAAAAACAACAAAAATTTTAAAACATCCGCTACCATCTTGTCTCCATTACCTTCGACCCTGAAAATTAATCTCTATAATTATACATTTTCAGGCAATGTCAAAATCATCCGCCAAGTTGTAGGCGCCATCTTTAATTTTGAATTTTGACCTGAAATTCGTAATATCTCACTTTATAAACTTTGGACGAGTAACGACAAGATTGTTAGCCATATTGGAAACGCCATCTTTGATTTTTTTTTCTCGAAATAGTCGGTTTAGTAAAAGAAGTCATAATTTGAATGCATGCCTACCAAATTTTCAAGCAGATTTCAATCACAATTCAGTTTGAAATAATTGAAAGCCTGCAAGTGCTGTAAAGAACGATTCCGAATGAAATAACTGGTGTGCACTATCCAACAAGTTCTGTACACTTTTCAACGAGCTATGTACACTTTCCAACAAGTTGTGTACACTTTTCAATGAGTTATGTAAACTATTTAAGTAAAAAAATAGATATCTATGTTCATTAATTTGATTGTGCTGTATGTAGTGGGATTTTTCGAGAAAATTAACCAAATTCATCCTCCGAAATAGCTTTCACGGTTTACAAAGACGGTTGACAGTCCGGTCCTGGCTCTTCCGACAAAAACAAATGATGTGTCGGAGTTCCGAGAATTTGTAACTTGTGCTTGGACTTTGAACGGAGGTCGAACAACAACATGATAACATGGAATTCCGTGGAATAAACTTAATATTTACTTGGAAAATAAAATCGAATAGAGGGGAATTAATGAGATACTTACGTAGCTGTGCAGCCTACCTACGTGGTTCATTTGCTATGTTTGTTATTGTTTGTTGACAGAAACTTTCATAAAACTTAATTCGGAAGTTCTCAGAATATAGGGGTTCTAGGAGCACTGTACATACAGAGTGAGCAAAGTATAAAAGAAATTTTAGTAGGTACAAAAATAAATATCGAGTATCGAGATAAATTCCAAGGTTTCATTTATTTCGTTATTTCCACTTCTTATTAATTTTTTTTTTAATTTAAACTGAATACAAATTATAAAATTCCTATACAGGGTGTTCCTTGATGACATGCTAATATTCATGAGGGCGATTCTTGGAACCATTTTAAGAAGAAAACTTCATATGAACGAACCTATCTATGTAAACATATATCTACACCCTGTATAGTAAAACAAATAACTATTGTATATCAGAAAATACCGGAGAATGCACCTTGAAGAAGACATTTACAAAATTTTATAAATATGTCTACAATATTATTATTATAGAGAAACTGTTTTTTAAATATCAGCATGTCTGCATGGAACACCCTGTATATTATTAATATTGAGACAGAAGCTCTAACTAGAAGAGTAAAATACTCGGTATAATGATATATCAATAGACTGAGTGACTCTGAGTTCAGTGTGAAAAAATAATCGTGATGTCACGTCATGAAGAAATGGAAGAAATTGCGATCTCCGGTGAATTTTGAACTCGATTTTGAACATGTCAAGAAAGTTCTAAAAATAGTTGTTGCGTCATTTTATTTGCGTCATTATATATATATATATATACTTTGTTTACAAATAATAATTGACGAGATAATTGAGTAATCAATAGATAATCAATAAAAGCTCCCGTCATGAGTTAAAGATGTATTTGAAATTGAAGGATCTGTGGAAATTAGGTTGAAATCGAATATTGGAATGTCTCATTGTATTGGAAACAATATGAACATCAAAATATGGATATGATTCTATGTTATGATTCCATGAGGTCACAATGTCACAGAAATACTGATTAGGTAGGTAGGTAGGTAAATATCACTAGGACTAGAGTCACTTATCAAACTAATACCATCCAGTGACTCTAACTAGGACTACGTATTTATCGGTATTTATAATAGGTCCATTGATTTATTGAAAATAGGTTCCTAGTAATATCAATGACGAAGCGGGAGGATTATTCTGTTAAACTGACACGATTTGTAATTATTGTGCAGGAAGTGTGAGATGTATAGAGCCATGAAGATTTTCAAATTCGAATTGTATTCCATGTGATTATTTTTTGAGCACTCTGAACGAAAGTCAAAATTTGACGACGAGCTTTGTTTGTATGTAACAATATGAATTAGTTACTAAGGAAATAATTCTAAATTTCTGATTGGTGGAGCTACATACGAAGGAAATAATCAAATCAATAATTTCGTTTCTTCTTCTTAAAATAAGTGGCAGATAATTTATACAGATAGAGCTCAAGAAATTGTACATAGAAATATAGTAGATTTTTCGAAATATTTGATGTCACAGAGAGAGAGAGAGAGAGAGGTACCAATCAGAATTCACCTATCTCGAAGTAGAATCAAAGCAACAACAAAAATGGTAATTAAGTATTTATTTAGATTATCCTCAATTGATCATTTTTTAGGTACCTATGTGCTATGTGTACCTATTCCACCGTTACTCTGTAGCTGTTTTTTGGCAAACAAAACAATGGGCTTATATCACAAAAAAAGATATTTCATAATTCGATAGAACTCACCCAAACTAGCTCACCAAGTCGTTAATCTATGCCACCGCAAACCGTTTCTTGCTGTGAGCTCCCTACGTTTTATATTATAAAAAATTATTGAAATCCCCGATTTTTCGGACCTCTGAAAACGAGGCGATGATGTGACAATACTGAAACAAGACTATTCCAGACAGAGATGATTTCTGACAGTGAATTAGCGCGAGATCACAGTTGAAATAAATCAGTTGCCTCAGTCTCCGTCGGGCGTTTGGTATTTTAGATGAGGTTTCTACGGAATGCTGGACTTATACCTCGTTATACCTATATACCTATTAGTCGGATTTTCAGGAGATGTTACTGTCGATGAAGTCCTTCCTGTGATGCTGAGAGTTATTTAGGTGGAATATTGTTTAATTAATAACATGTTAGAATATTTTATTCGGATTTATTTTACATCAAAATGTTGATAATTTCAATAGGAATAAATTTATTACTGGCGATTGAGTATGGTAATACCTTCCTCGGGTAATACACAATCTGAACTGGATTACCTAGAAATATAAATAGATACCAACCAATAATCATGGACAATAGCCATCGTTATACCCGAGGTTATACCAATTTCATCGAATCTCATGATCAAACGAGTCAATAAAATGTAATATACCCAAAATATACAGGGTGTGATTTGAGTAGGTATGGGAACAAGTAATTTCACAAAATTTGATTGGATTGTATCGAATACATGCCACATGGGAAGATCAATTACAAATAGTACCTAGCGGTACCTAGTTATGAGTCGAAAATTCGACTAGTGTGTAGAACTTTACTTTCAGGTTATACTAAGGTTTGTTAATCTGTGGTTATACCTAGCATGACGCGTTGAGTCTTTGGACTGTATAAAAAAAATTGCAAGCGTAGAAAAAATGACAAATGATTGTGATTGAAATTGCAACAATTCAAATCAGTCTACTCCGTGCCTTCAAACTCGAGCTTTAGACTATGGAATACCTTGGCCATCTGTTCAATTTGAAACAGAGGAAAAGTTGGCAACATTATACAAATAGATACCTTGATTAAAATGTGATCTCGTGATAATCATCTACACGAAAATATTGTCAATATCCGTATCAAGGTTGCCATCTTATCATAGCGGTTTTGTCCGAGTTTGTCGCTAAATCCGGCTAAATCTAGAGTTTTTAGGGTGGATGAATGCGACATTACAACCATTTCATGTATTTCGTAAGCATTTCATTCATTTCGTGAGTATTTCATTCATTTCGGAAGCATTTAATCATTCGGAAATGCATTTCAAGCCATTCAAATGCATTCCAAACTCGATTCCAAGACATTTCGTGACATTTCACTACAGTAGCATTTCAAACCATTTTGTGATATTTCAGCATTTCGGATTTCGGAGCATTCCAAGATTCCGGAACATTTTGTACCATTTCCTTATAGCATTTCATTTTATTTCATGTCATATCAAAATATTTCAAGGATTTCGAGGCATTTCACGCTATTTCAGAAATGGCATTTCATCTCATGTCATTTCAAAGCATTTCAAGATATTTCATGGCATTTCCAAGGAATTCAAGGCATTTCATGGTATTTCAGAAATGGCATTTCGTGACTTGTTCCACGCATTTCCTTATAGTGGTAACCCTCTTGGAAATATGAGGTCAGGGTTGGTAGAATTGATAAATATACTTCTTATTTTCGTGTCATTTGGTTTTCTATTTGTTCAAATCGGTTCAAATATTCTACTTTTTTTTCTTTCGAATATTTCGGTAAAACAGGCCATAGCTTTAAGAGCATCTGGCAACATTTTATGATTTTTGAATTTGACACTGACCTCATGAAAATGTTAGCCGTCATTGGTGAGGAAAAATGTTCTTGTTTCACACTCTATAGCTTTCACAACATAGGTAATCTATCATCTCCTATTTTACCGAGTATTTTACTAAAATATATTTCATTGTTCTGTGCGTCACTCAGGTTTTTACGGGTTTTTAACGAGGTTTTCAACCTATTCATCGAAATCGGTGTGAATTGCGATCCAAAAAGAAATTTCTAGGTATTTTAAAAGTTCCACTTAGAATAGAAAGAGAGCGACCTTTGTACTTTTCGTCAACAAAATTGTGAGAACTTGCCAATTGATAAAATAGACAGAAGAGACAGCTGCTATATTATAAAATAAATAAAGTAATCTCGAAAGTAACCTAGAAGTGACGGTTGGTAAATTGAGGACGGAAATGAAAAATCTAAATTTAGTTGAAACCTCGGTTGAAACCCATAAAATAAATTTAATCCTGACCTAGGTGCGATTTGCATCAGACTCTACAACATCATCAAAATAGGTACTCGCACTATCTATATAGGTAGGTCCTAATATGTTTCTTCGTTTTTTTTTTTACTTGAGAATAAGGATGATTCTCCAGAGAGAATGCCAATAAACTTGGATGAAGATTGGAAATTGAGCCTTGAGCCCGAAACGAAGATAATTGGCTTTCAGTTTCCACAATTCCGTTGTCCAAACTTCCAACTTCCAATATTTTATGGCGAATTATAGTTAGATACCTACCCTGTTACAGTTGTAGGGACTCTAGTTGTAAGTACTCCCTCGTTTACTCCAAGAAATATTAAAATGAGAATTTTCAGGTTACTTTTATCGAGACTTTTATGCACAACTTTATTTGTAATAATTTTAAACCGAACACATAGGTAAGTTGTATACACTGAGATATTACCAGGTATTACCTCAGGTATTACTTACCTTCAACCCGTATTATAGTATAGGTATTTGTAATTCTGATATAAAAATTTGCTACCAACCTATAACTACCTACTTGAAATTAGTTGAAATATCAACGATATATCTGGTGAAATATCGACAAACTCAATAATTGACGTCATATCGGACAACCTGCTATACTTAAATCGATTGGAAACTTATCAAGAAAAACACCAGACCAACTGTCTACAGCTACGAGGGATGAATAAAACCTCAACAGTGAGCTTGATCAAGCTGAGCACAACACCCATTCATTACTAAGCTTTTACCTACTTACTTTCTCGTTGTGAACCCTGAGGACTGATGATAGAAGTTGAACCAATATGAGTCCTAATGAATTAATACTCCAGTAAAAATGTAAAAATATTGATATAGGTGAAGAAACGAAAATGGGTCCTAAATTGCCAAGAGACAACCCTGGTATAAGACCTTGTATACAATATACTATCCTGCCTTGAATAAAGATGCATTATCATCTGTATTAAACTGTAAATGCATATTAATTACAACTAAGAAAGATACTTAGGTACTCATATAAGGCTCATAGGGGCCTCATAATATACTCGATAATATACACCTACAACTCAAATATTAGAATATTTCAAATGGGTCTGTGACGGTCTGTGGCATTCCAGGTGGCATCATCAATCTTTCTGTTTCAGCCCCCTTGAACTTGAAAATATTTCGCCATTCCAAGTTGCAACATGACCAAGTCTATTATATTTCTATAATGTAGAATAAGGCCTTTCCCCTGTCTGTCATCGACTCATCGATCCTCAGAACTCAGAACTCCTCGGATCAGACAAGTTCAATCAATACCAAATACCTTTTTTTGTGTATGGAATGGAAAGTCTACTTACCAAAGTCGATGAATTTCTTTATTGATAACGGCGATGGATTGAATTGGGAATAAAAATCCAGCATTTTTGCGATGGTCTGGAAATGCTTTGGCGACAGCCTCATTTTGTTCTCGATTTTCTATGCACGCTGTGTAAAACTTCAATCTTCTCACTGCAAATTATTATTATGGCACTTTATACTGTTTGTACTGCACTGTTTGCAACTCATAACAAAACTGAAATGACCTTGTCGGTTATCTGGTGTTATAACATCCAAAGCGAGGAAGGCGGCCAACGAGAAAACTCGCGATGACGTGAACAGCTGACTATTTGACACCGATTTCCACGAAAAGTGATGAAAATGCGCAGGAGTGTTACCAACATTTTCAAAAACAAAGCAATCTAACCTGACCACAAAATAATTTCATTTTTCACTTTTCACGATACTACAGCTCACTAGATTTTTGCTCCATATTTTCATATTTAGCAGACAACGCTTTTTACATTCATATTTTTCACAGATCAAGATTTCATAACATCAACATCGCCATAAAAAACAAACACATGAAAATCAATCATCGATCAACGGCATCTAGTCATCTATCTAGTAATTCTAGTGACCATAGTGACCGAAGAGGCCACTGTAGATCGACTCAGTCTCTCAGTCCAAGTCATACTGTTACAGAAATCTGTACTTCCTCAAGGTTGGTAGAATTTAGAACAGTTAGAACAGAAAACTTTTCCGATGAGTGTACGAGTTGTAAAAAACTACTAAAATTAAAGAAACCTACGCTTCAATCAACGGTAAAATAGTGAATCTACGCGAAAGATTCAAGAAGTTAGCGATAGATGCCGCGACAAAGAAACAGCCAGAATAGCCACAGATCAGGTGCGTATCCTAGGGGGAGGAGGGTTGAGGAAATCAACTATTATTGCATTTTTGATAGAACATAATGTTTTAAGCCTCTACGAATAATTCTTGTATGTGAAGTTTAGAATCTGATTTTCAATTATAAAGAATTATGCGATTGCTTCCAAGCACACTTTCCAGTACCGACCTGACTCATTTCATCGATTCCAAGATTTCCCCCTCGAGTTTTACTTCAATCGATAACAGAACCAGTAGGAGGGTTGGTATCAGTATAGCGTGACTGCTGAAATCCAAACCCCGCTTATACCTTCACAATTTCATAGTTGAGCTATCAAAAACTGTGAATCATTCAAATTATCTATTGAAAACCTGTGAATTATGATTCTTTTTTGTCAGTGAGACTCTGGTAAGTGATGTAGAATTTTAGGTATACAGAATAATAGTCGACAACCCCATATTTTCGCTATTCGAAAGAATACTGGTTTAAAAATGTTTGCAAATCAGTATTTATTGAGAAGGCACATTTTCCAAGATACTTTTACTTACTCAATTCAAAAAGTTTCTCAAAAAATATTTCAACACCGGATATACCAAGTATCAACTTCTCATTTATACAGGGTGATTAATTTTTTTCCGAATATTAGCTGGATTATGAATCAATTGAAATTTATCTCAACCTCATTGTGACATTATTACATTTTCTCCTCTGATATCCATTTTCGAATATAGGTTTAAAAAAATGAATTTTCTGGATATACATATACACTATACAATTAGCCATATACATTTTTGACTACCGTGTATAGTTTTTGCGCACGATTTCGAGTATGTGTACAACATGGACTTCTTTCGAAACATATATTCACATTGCAATAAAGTATATAATTTCGACTTCGATCTCAGAATTAACATATAATTTTGACCTCACAACTAAGAATTAGTATAAAATTTCTACTTCACAACTCAGAATTAGTATATAATTCCGAGTTTACAACTACATCGACTACACTGATTCTGAGTTGAGAAGTCCAAATTATACTAATTATGAGTTGAGAACTCGGAATTACTATGATTCTAAGTTATGAACTAGAAATTATACTATTTCCGAGTTCAGTTAGCTCGGAATTACACTCATTCTGAGTTGTGAACTCAAAATTAAACAAATTCTGAGTTGGTAACTCGGCATTATACTTATTCTGAGTTGCGAAGTCAAAATTCATATAAATATTTTATGTCAATGTCTTTGCTTTTGTGAAAATCACAATTTAACCAGAAAAATCTGACTTTTTTGATATTTTCTATAAAATCGTGATTATTTTATTGCAACTCTGGGTAATACTGCATTTATCATGGATGGAATTTGATAATGAAAATCTAAACCATACTATTTATAAAGTTCGAAATTTCGTCTTTCTTTTTCCCCCTGTGTTGGATGCATTTACAGCTACTTGCTCTTCTTAATATGTCATTGGACACGTTATATTATTATACTCATGATGTACTCCAATGATACATTTTTATATGGAAAATTAACAGGAAGATTTTTATGACGAGTTTTTCATATTCAGTGAACAAGCATACCAGATGACGGCCATTTAATCATCAATATATATTGGATTTTTTTTTATTTTATTCAGACCAGGAAAGAGTCCCTCTTATCCTGATATCTATTATGGAACAAAATAAAAACGGTATTGAAGTTTGATGCGAACAGTCCTTCTGCCCCAAATAAGTTTCAGAAATACATTCTGAGAATTGAAAGAGATCGAACGGAATGAATAAATATCAAAAACTTGAGAATAGTAAATTTGGTCATAATGTCGATATTTTCTCTAATTTATGGACAATCCCGGTCTTTTGAACTTTGATTGATCACCAGGGTCATAATCAACTGCATTTCGAAGAAGCTGATTCTCATGAACCTCAGCTTTTTCGAAAGTCTTGATGTTTCGTTCTTTAATGACTGACACGATTGAAGGGAGTTTCAGATCCCTGGCGATCTGGTTATTCCGAACATACCAAGGAGATCCTGTCACCATTCTCGCGATTTTGTTTTGTAATGTTTGTAATCTGGTGATATGAGATTTGGCTGTGTGGCCCCAGACTACTGAGGCATACAGTAAAATTGGCCTGATAGCCATGGTATAAATATTCAATTTTTGTCTCAAACCCAATTTACTCTTTCGTCTGTTTAGAAATGGATACAGGGCTCGTTTAGCTTTAGAAACTTGCTGTTCAATGTGCTGGGCCCAGGTGAGCTTTTTGTCAATGCACACACCTAAGTATTCAACTTGTGAAGACCACTCTAACTCATGACCATCCAGGACTATTCTGGTTATGGGAAGCCTCCGCTCCCTTCCGAGTGCGACCAATTGTGTTTTTGTAGGATTCAATTTGATCTTCCATCTTAGGAAGTACCTACTCCTGAAAAGAATTCAGTGCGCTTTGGAGGTTCATAGCTGCTTGCTCGAAATTTGTCGAATATGCAAGAACTGCCGTATCATCAGCAAAAAGCGACATCTTGCACATCACTGGTCTTGGCAAATCGCTAGTATATAAACTGAACAACACCGGAGATCAAACTGCACCCTGAGGAACACCAGCTTCAATGAGCTTGATACCAGATCGTTGATCATCAAGTTTAACTTGAAAAGTTGGATTTTTCAAAAATGAACACATCAACTGAATCAAATCATCAGGAAAGCCCATATCGATCATTTTGTATAAGATACCATCATGCCACACCTTGTCAAATGCTTTCGCTATGTCAAGGAGAGCAAGATGGGTCTTTTGTCTATCATTTCTCAAGGATATTGTGTTCTCAATGAGTCTCAAGACTTGTAGTTGAGTTGAGTGGCCAGTTCTGAAACCGAACTGCTCATCTGGTATAAGCTCGTTGTCGTCGACAAATTCCTGTAACAGATTGCTTTTGAACACGATCTTTTGAATGATATTATATACACGCCATTATTTTGAATGATATTCTTCCTTCTTTTCACTGAATATGGATAAATCACAAGAAAATCATATTTCTAGTTGACTCATATATATAATAGAAAAAAATGTGTCGTTCATTGTGATATGTACTATAATTTGTCCAAATGATGAGAAAAGAAGGGCAAATTGTTCTAAATGCGATCCAGAAGGCTGGCGGAAAAGAAGGTGAAATTTGTAAGTTTATAGTGAAATATCTTGATAAATAATGGTTTGTTCACAGTTTCATTATCAAATTCGCGTTTTTCAGACGTGAGTACCAAAAAAACTTTTCAAAAAAAAACCATCGCATGATAAATGCAGTTTTACCCAACTCTGGAACATTATTCTGTACAGGGTGACATCAAAATAAATACATTAGATTCAAACCCTAAGTAGGCTCAAGGTATACTATCGAATGGCACCATTGAAAAAAATATAGGGGTCAAAATAAGATTTGGGCCAAGACCCAAAATTCTACTCATCGAGACCTATAGTTAGTAAAAGTCGTGGCGATGATTCATCATAGTTTCGATTTATTTCCAGGTGGTGAAAAAACTATATTTCGAATTTTTCTTAACAAATGTGACGTATGGCGGGCCTTTTTGCCGGGAACGACATCATGTGCGAGGAATCGGCGTGTTTGGTGCCTCCCATGGAGACCTCCCACAACCGGCCAGTCGAGTCACGACGTACGTTACTACAGTTGCCCACGTTTTGCATGCCAAGTATGAAACTTGAATATTAGCGAATAGGCCCATCCATCATGACATTCATTGCACAACTATTTTAACAAATTTATCTTAACTTAATTTAATAAGATGAAGTATACAGAAATGGAACGAGCTTTCAAACAATCACTTAACTTATCTTAATTTATCTTATCAAGTCCGTCCAATTTTATCTTTCTCTTAAGAATCTTCAGTAATTTCGCAAGTGCGCATGTGCAAGAGCACAGGATCATAAAACACGAGAAGAACGAAGACTACTGACAGCAGTGACAGGAAAAACAAATATAACCCTACTTTGTTTTCTACGTTATAAACTGTGAAACAACGATTCTCAAGTTGGATTTAATTCTCGGATTTTTTCAAACAAAAGAAAAACAATGGATGATGCAGTACTCATAGATCTTTTGAGGAAATTCACTTTTATTTATGATAAAAGTCATAAAGATTTTAAAAATAAATTATGCTGAGAAAACGCCTGGACAACCATAGGAGGTGTTCTGGATGTATCTGGTAAAAATTCGATGTGTTTCATCTATTCTCAGTATCTTATGAAAACGAAACAAATGAAACAATGGTGAATTGACAAGTGATAGAATGTCAATGTCATTCTATCAATTTCAATTAGAAGATCTGCGCATGCGTATTGGGCACTAACTTATGTATAACATGAACTAGACATTTTTTCCTAAGTATAATTCATAAGTTAAATTAAATTAAGATAAATTAAGTGATGTTGCATAAATTTCATAGTTGGAATTGCCATCCCTAGAAAAAACATTTTTTTTCACAACTAACCTGAGAAATCACCATGATTCGAGGATTTCCTGTAATGGGAAGTAAAGGTGGATTCATGCGAACAAAATTCAAAACTTAAATAAACCTAAACCAATAATAAAACTATGAAATGTAATGTAGGTGCTCATGCATGCAATAAACTAAAAAAATAAAAATAAAATTAAAACTAAGAAAGATGGCCAACATTCAACTGAGAAATTAACTTCTTAGCCGCGCTGGAAAAAGATCGAACAGATGATGAAAGGTTATCGCATGAACACCCATATATTTTCAATTTAAAATTCATTTGAATCTTCAATTCATTATAACTTAGTTGATGTTGCATGAACCCACCTTAACACTTTTTAAACCTAGGTAAATAATGAAGAATTGATGAAGACATTTTACCTAGGTAAAAAAAAAACTGCCAATCAATGATATTTTGCAATATACACACATATATGTGCAACCAACGAAGATGATATATTCCTAAAACCAAATATTGTTGAAACTACAGATCTCATTAGAGCTGAAAGCAACTTTTTAAGTATGAAAAATGTTTGGAATAATCTGATTATTATTAATTCTAATGAAAATGTCACAACACAAATCAAACGTGAGCTGTCACTGTCAAGTGTGGTTGCTGCTTGACTGACTGACTGCAGTTGTCCGACCGTCCATATATATGAGATCCCTTGGTAGGCTTTGCTTCTCGAACGTTCTCGAATGATCTTCCGTACCCTTCTTTCTGTTCCAGAAGCTTCTTAGAACAATACCTCTCTCTCTAATTGTTCCATCGATTGTTTCCAGAACAATCCAGAATCCTCTGTCACGTTATTTGTCACCGCGACATATATTGAGTGTTCGGAAATTGGTTGGTACATGTAGGAATCATTGGGATGTTGAAAAACAATCTGAGATGCGTGTTACAGGATGTACGTTGTACTCCTGCCTTCCTGATGATGTTTCTAGAGCCCCTCTAAGGAGAATATCATTGTAACAAATATGAAAACTTGCCGGCAGAAATGGCTGTTTCTAAGTTCATTCAATATTTAGACACCCTGTATAGTTGAGTGCTGTTTCTACATCGTCAGAGTGTGTGAATTAGGAGCGGCAGCCTTTATTTATACACCCAATAATAAACCTAATAAGGTGACCTTTGTTATTACCCTGTGCCGTGATAATGGAGTTTGCATGCCTTGAAATTTCTAACCTCTTGTTAGTTCTAAATATCAAGTGTTTTGATCTTTCACATTGAATGAGACCTAGTAGAGCATGATGTTTCTTTCACCTTTATCAAATGTAGCATGGTATAAAACTAGTTGACTATATAATATATAAGAGGAAACATACAGCTCGTAATATTCATGTTAGTACCCAATAGGTTGGCATTTTTAACGTGAACGAATATACAAGGTGTCCAAGAATACCTGTTCCAATGAGAAAAACTCTAGGAATCGATAGAACTCAATGCAATAATATTATTTTTCTGTTATCGATTCAAAAGTCGTCCAGTTTGTTCCAAAATAAGCTCTTGCAGTTGACGATTCTCTTACTGACACAATGAAATGATTATTATGTATGTTGCTAGACAACATTCAGTGTATAGGAGCTAAAGTTGAAGTTTAACTCCTAGGAACTAAAAACGTGTCGGATGACAGCTGATACGATAGCTGCTTTGACACAGACATGCTCAAGTGAGTCAAAATAGTGGTAACTTCAAATTATAATTTAATAATTAGAAATCTATTATTTCGATTGCAAAAATAATAGCATGTTTCATTCGGATCAAAAGTGTTTGTTTGACTCGCAAAATTTGCGTGCTCGGCTTCGCTTTAGCTCCTAGAAGTTTTTATGATTTTATTTTCAAACTCTTATCGTGTGTGTTCAATACATATAATTCAATGTTCGTCGTGGCATATAGCCAGGAAAGTAGTTGTTTTCTATTGAATCAACTGAGAAAGAGTAAATATTCTCATCACAGAGAATGCGAATTCTCAATGTATTGCTTTATATAAATATACAGGGTGTTCCCTAACTACGGTTCCTAATTGCAGGTGGTGATTTTTCAGGTCATTTTAGGAAGAAAAGTTCCTATTAACATATGTCCGGAGTTGCTTCGTTCCTGAGATACAGGGCGATGAAATTGAAGAAAAAAAACGGTAATTACAAATTATCATGAATATCCTGGAACCGATTTGGTTGAAATTTGGTGCTTTCATTTGACCTAATAAAGCACTTATTTAGCCGTATTTAGATTGAAATTATTGGGTCCAGTGGCGTCTCAGTGGGCACCACAGCCAACATTATTGTGAAAAACAGTACGCCACTGACTGTTTCTGGTGAATTTTTATTTTTTCTAGTTTGAGCAACTAAAAATACAACTTTTTGGTGTCCCGTATTTTCTTCATATCTAGCTTCGTTTTCGAGAAAAAAAAATAAAGCCACTGTATTGCATATCTGCATTTTCATTTTTTTCCGCCGAAAATATAATTGACACTTGATATGCTGAAATTTTAGAAAATTTGACAAATAAAAGTATCAAATTTCATCCAAATCGGTTACAGGATATACATGATATTTTATGATTACCGTTTTTTTTCTTTAACTTCAACGCCCTGAATCTCAGAAACGAAGCAACTCAGGATATATGTTCATAGGAACTTTTCTTCTCAAAATGACCTAACGAATCACCCTCTGCAGTTAGGAACCGTAGTTAGAAAACACCCTGTATATCCATTTTTGTATGTTCATAATTTATCTGAGAATATTCCTTTTCAACAAGAATAAAGAACATTGTTAGGGTTGGTTATTCAGGTTGGGCCACATACCTGAGATGTTTCCGATTTCGACAGATTTGGCATTTCATACCCATGCTGTAGTTGAGTATTTTTTTGGATCAGAAATGCCTTCAAGATTCACATACTTGCTTGATCTAATTTCCATTCGTTATTCTCGGGATAGATAACTTGTTTTTGAATAATCTCGGCCAGCAATACTTTTCTGTCTCAAACAACGATATTGTTAACCTTCCTTTGATTACCGAGCCAAACACAGTGGAGTACGGAGAGAAATAAATAAGCGCTATTATTATTGTTGATTGCAACCAAACTATCAAAACTCAAAATGTCAACTATGTTCATGTCGAATAGCTGTCAGTCGGCGATATTTCGCTGCTATGGTAATCATCATCTGTATTTATCGAAACCATATCTACCAAGATTACGGACTTCCCGGTCGGAAAAATGCTACTTTCTCAAAGAAAAAGCCCAAAAAGTATATTTTTAAACATGGATCAGTTTTGGCAACAACGCATCGTTCGTGTGTGGCTCAATCGAAATGTGGGTAAATTGAAAATTGGGCCAAAACGAGACTTTTCCTCATATCATCAAGTATCTACTAACTGACGATTAATCGAATGTTGTTAATTGAAGTTTGAACAAGTCGATAAAACCAAATGTTTGTTTTCTAGCTTCGTATACTAGGTCACCCCTAGACCCGCCAGGGGTGGAAAACACCCCCCAGAACGGCGAAGCTCTGATGGGGTTTCATGAAGACGCGTTGTCCCAAGCTTCGGTGGGCAAAGCACAAGTGCTGCTAGCTTGCGTACTAGGGCTAGGACTAGCTGCAGACTGCTCGGAATTGACCATACTAGCTTACATTCTACCGGCAGCCGAGCTGCAGCTTTGCATTGGAGAAGATAAAAAAGGATGGCTTGGTAAGCGAACGTTATATATTTGCATCAACCGTAAGTGACATCAATAGAAAATGTAGACTACGTAATATATTCTCAAAATGACCCAAAATCTGGCTTTGAAGGACCAATAATGTTTCGTTTATTTCATAGGGTTTTAATTAACCGAATTAAACAGAGATTACAGGAATTTATCGACGACAACGTGCTTATACCAGATGAGCAGTTCGGTTTCAGAACTGGCCACTCAACTGAACTACAAGTCTTGAGACTCATTGAGAACACAATATCGTTGAGAAATGATAGACAAAAGACCCATCTTGCTCTCCTTGACATAGCGAAAGCATTTGACAAGGTGTGGCATGATGGTATCTTATACAAAATGATCGATATGGGCTTTCCTGACGATTTGATTCAGTTGATGTGTTCATTTCGAAAAAATCGAACTTTTCAAGTAAGACTTGATGATCAACGATCTGGTATCAAGCCCATTGAAGCTGGTGTTCCTCAGGGTGCAGTTTTATCTCCGCTGTTGTACAGTTTATACATATACTAGCGATTTGCCAAGACCAGTGATGTGCAAGATGTCGCTTTTTGCTGATGATACGGCAGTTCTTGCATATTCGACAAATTTCGAGCAAGCAGCTATGAACCTCCAAAGCGCACTGAATTCTCTTCAGGAGTACTTCCTAAGATGGAAGATCAAATTGAATCCTACAAAAACACAATTGGTCGCACTCGGAAGGGAGCGGAGGCCTCCCAGAACCAGAATAGTCCTGGATGGTCATGAGTTAGAGTGGTCTTCACAAGTTAAATACCTAGGTGTGTGCATTGACAAAAAGCTCACCTGGGCCCAGCACATTGAACAGCAAGTTTCTAAAGCTAAACGAGCCATTGGAGCCCTGTATCCATTTCTAAACAGGCGAAGTAAATTGGGTTTGAGACAAAAATTGAATATTTATATCATGGCTATCAGGCCAATTTTACTGTATGCCTCAGTAGTCTGGGGCCACACAGCTAAATCTCATATCACCAGATTACAAACATTACAAAACAAAGTCGCGAGAATGGTGACAGGATCTCCTTGGTATGTTCGGAATAACCAGATCGCCAGGGATCTGAAACTCCCTTCAATCGTGTCAGTCATTAAAGAACGAAACATCAAGACTTTCGAAAAAGCTGAGGTTCATGAGAATCAGCTTCTTCGAAATGCAGTTGATTATGACCCAGGTGATCAATCAAAGTTCAAAAGACCGAGATTGACCATAAACTAGAGAAAATATCGACATTATGACCAAATTTACTATTCTCAAGTTTTTGATATTTATTTTTTCCGTTCGATCTCTTTCAATTCTTAGAATGTATTCCTGAAACTTATTTGGGGCAGAAGGGCTGTTCGCATCAAACTTCAATACCGTTTTTATTTTGTTCCATAATAGATATCAGGATAAGAGGGACTCTTCCCTGGTCTGAATAAAATAAAAGAAAGATCCAATATATATAATTAACCGAATTAAAGCCCTGCAAGAACTACTCACCGGGTTTCCATAGTTTTCAGTCTTCTAGTTCCTGGTTGTTGTGGAAAAACAGGGTTCTAGAGGAAGGTAAGGAGCAAGGAAAACACAACCCGAGAAGAAAAATGATGCCCGAATATTTGATATTTGATGTCACTAGCCCGAATATCCAGTTTATATTCATTGAAAATATCCCGTTCACCTTTTGATAGGTTTATTGGGTCCGAAACTGTATTTTTAAATAGGTGATAAGGTGATACATTTTTCCATATGCCCAGGTGGACCTCCATTTTCGAATAGTAAAGAAAATCAAGGTTGCCAAATCTTCCGAGAAGTCCTAGAACTCATTGCTAAATTATAATTTGCGCCAACAGAAAGAAAAATGGAAATCTTGCTTCCCTTGTTCAATGTCAATCTGAGACTGATTTCATATTCAAAATGAGACTAAAGACACATTCAGAATGTGATTAAACGAATTCAAGATGACATACAATGTACCTCATTGACTTATCGAAAACAGTGAAACAAGAGAAATTTCTTCTTATAGATAGCCGTAGAAAAAGTATAGAATAATTTTAAAAAAAGCGTGATAACAATATGTTTAAAATAAGAATGGAGTAAAATTAATGGGTGCACCTCCGTAATTAGTATTTTTATATGATGATTATAAAAATACTGATTAAAGACTATACAAAGAGGGATCTGAAATTGTTTATTTTTCAGTTTCTATCACTCTTCTCGCGATGGCAGCAGGTTCTTTGGCTTGGGGCATACTGGGTGACCATCTCGGAAGGCGACGAGCCCTCATCAGTGCCCTTTCGGTAGCGGCACTATTCTCGATGGTCGCTTCCGTGATGCCAACTTACGGAACTTTCATGACAGCAAGGTAATTACTTGATAATTCATCAACCACATCATGTTGAACAATTTTAGAGTTATTTTTGAACATAAAAAGTGTTTTTGGGTCATGAGAAATTCTTGGACTTATTATTTCACGGAGAATCCGAAGCCCAAGCAAATTTCTCCTGACCAGAAACCAAGTAGGATTCAGAAAAGAAGAAGAGAAAAACATAAACATCAGGGTGATAATTTGAAAAATGCTGCTTGTACCAGTATCACCTGACGAAGCTACTGTTGTTAGCGAAACATATCGTGTGTTTGAGAATTTTGTGGAAATCTTATCGTTTGTGAAGTTTTTACATTTGCCTCAAAATGTTTCTGCGTTAATTTCGCTTTTATAGGAAACCTATAATGGCTGAATTGTTTTGATCAATTTTGGTACAAATCCTCAACTCATGACGATATCGTATCCTTGATCCAGTAACCTTTCACAGAGGGAATTTGTTGAAAAAATGCTGCTGATCTCGCAGAAGGGTTCTGGCTCTACAAAAGGTTTTGCTCGGATCTAGGCGTTTCATCTCGTAATAATAAATTCTGTTGGTGAATCTTCTGTATATTTTCTGCCGGTTCTGCTCAGGTCCCAGCGTTAAGGGAATCTTTTCTCGTCTCCTTCAGCTAGCTTGTACCTTATTTTTGAATCGAAAGAAAGGATTCGCTCAGGGAGATACTGAATACCTCCAACTCCCTAAGTGCATTCCTTCTCGTAATAATAAATTCTGTTGGTAAGTATTCCGCATATCTTTTGCAGGTTCTGGCATTCGGGCCTCGGCATTTCGGAAGCCTTTCCCCTTCGTTCAGCTATCTTGTGCTTTATTTTTGAATCGAAAGAGAGAATTCCCTCGAGGAAATACTGAATAACTTCCACTTCCTAAGTGCATTCCTTCTCGTGATATTAAATTCTGTTGGTGAATCTTACGTTTATTCTTTGCCAGTTCTGCTCAGGTTTCAAGGTTTCGAAAACCTTCCCCTTTTCCTTCAGCTATCATGTACCTTATTTTTGAATCTAGAGGACGGATTCATCCGTGATAATAAATTCTGTTGGTAAGTCTTCTGTATATCTTTTGCGGGTTCTGTTCGGACCCCGGCTTTCGGGAGCCTTTTCCCTCTCCTTCAGCTCTCTGGAACCTAAATTTTGAATCAAGAAAACGATTCCCCTACAGGAAATACCATCTCGTGATAATACATTTTTAAATCATTTCCAGGTTCCGTTCGGGCCTGGGCATTTCAAGAGCCTTCTCGCTCATCTTCAGCTATCTGCAGCCTCAATTTTGAATAAAAAAAAACGATTCCATTCCAGGAAATACCTCCTGAAAACCTCCTACTTCCTAAGTGCATTCATTCTCGTGATAATACATTTTTATATCATTCCCAGGTTTTGTTCGGGCCTGGGCATTTCGGGAGGCTTCCTGCTCTGCTTCAGGCTCCTGAAACCTTGATTCTGAATCAAGAAAACAATTCCCCTCCAGGAAATAGTTGCTGAAAACCTACTACTTCCTAAGTGCATTGATTCTCGTGATAATACATTTTTATATCATTTCCAGGTTCTGTTCGGGCCTGGGCATTTCAAGAGCCTTCTCGCTCTTCTTCAGCTATCTGCAGCCTCAATTTTGAATAAAAAAAAAACGATTGCATTCCAGGAAATACCTCCTGAAAACCTCCTACTTCCTGAGTGCATTCATTCTCGTGATAATACTTTTTTATATCATTCCCAGGTTTTGTTCGGGCCTGGGCGTTTCGGGAGGCTTCCTGCTCTCCTTCAGCCTCCTGAAACCTTGATTCTGAATCAAGAAAACAATTCCCCTCCAGGAAATACCTGCTGAAAACCTTCTACTTCCTAAGTGCATTGATTCTCGTGATAATACATTTTTATATTTTTTCCAGGTTCTGTTCGGGCTTGGGCGTTTCGGGAGCCTTCCCGCTCTCCTTCAGCTACCTGGCGGAGACCTGTTCGCGGCCTACTCGATCGAGGTACTTGGGCGTGCTGCACTCCTTCTGGCCCATGGGGGCGGCGGCCATCTCCTCGGTCGCCTTCCTCGTCATGCCCACCTCGGGGGCAGCCATCGTCGAGGATAATCGGGAGCACTGGTGCTCCTGGCACAAGTAAGTTTCGGTCGGCTTTCTCATTTTTTTTCATCTCTTGGAGCGCACGAAAATAAATTCCTATGATGAATTGTAGAAATCATCCATACTCAAAGTGGTCCAATGTACAGGGTGGCCAACTAAGACTCCAGAGTTCGATTTCTCTGTTGTCTTGAGAGATACAAAAAAATTATGAATCAAAATTGAAGTAATAACCGAGCTTCACATTTCAAAATTTCTTTGAAATACACAGGGTGTTCCGTAAGGTCACAGCACATCAAAGCTATGTTTTTTTCATTGGAACACCCTATATTATTATTTTATTTTTGAATTCTCCCTGAAGATCTGTTTTCAACGACCCATCATACTTAGGGTCTAGCAGTGGAAGTTACTGACATATAGGGTGTGCAAAATCGAGATTTTCCAAGTTCAGGATTTTTTTCTGTCGAAACTGTTCATTATTCGTCAAAACGGTTCACATGTCCCTATCTCAACTTTTCACTCACTATCAATTGGTGTTCAATTGCAATTGATACAAGGTGGTCAAAAATCTAAATTTATAATTTGTTTCAATTAAATGTCAATTGAACACCAATTGATAGTGAGTGAAAAGTTGAGATAGGGACATGTAAACCGTTTCGACGAATAATGAACAGTTTCGACAGAAAAAAATTCTGAACTTGGAAAATCTCGATTTTGCTCATCCTATATCTCAGTAACTTTCACTGCTAGACCCTAAGTATGATACATCGTTGAAATCAGATCTTCAGGGAGAATTCAAAAATGAAATAAAATATAGGGTGTTCCAATGAAAAAAACATAGCTTTGATGTGCTGTGACCTTACGGAACACCCTGTGTATTTCAAAGAAATTTTGAAATGTGAAGCTCGGTTATCACTTTATTGAATGCAAAACTTTTTTTTGTATCTCTCAAGACAACAGCGAGGTATCGAACTCTGGAATCTTAGTTGGCCACCCTGTACTTTCAATGGAAAAATAAATACTCAAAGTCAGTCGACAACACTTCATGTAAAAATTAGTCTATTAAACAGTAACCGGTTTCAGCACAACGGCCATCATCAGACTGCAATCTATACTAATATTGCTTATTTGTTTGTATGTATTGAATAGGCTTCGAAACTACTGGATCGATTTGGCTGACAATGGGCTTATATCACAAAAACATTTTATTTCATAATTCGATAGAACTCAACAAAACTAGCTCACCACCGCAAGCCGTTTCTTGCTGTAAGCTCCCTACGTTTTATAAAAAATTATTGAAATCCCCGATTTTTCAGACCTCTGAAAACGAGGCGATGATGTGATGAGACGTCAAAACCCTAATACTGAAACAAGACTATTCCAGACAGAGATGAATGATACATTATTTCGGACAGAGTGAATTAGCGCGAGATCACAGTTGAAAGAATTAATATATCAGTTCCCTCAGTCTCCGTAGGGCGTTTGGTATTTTCTTTCAACTATGGCGAGATGAGGTTTCTACGTCATAAGAAGGTACTATTAATTATGTCCAAAAATGAAACATTCCAGTTAATTTTTCGATCGGATTATGTCGTCAATCATTATTTATGTATAAAAGGATCTTTATAAACATGGTTTGAGTTAAAAGTTCTACTAAGGTGTACACGTCCATTGGTGAGGAGGTAGCCTAGAACCAGGAGGAGGATATAGGATACTTTTTATCCCCATACCATTAGGAAATTCAAGATGGCGGATCTAATATATCGGACAAGTTCTGTGATTATAATCTGATTCTTCTCAAATTTGGTATCTGGTGGTTCTCGGGGTCGGAGATTATGATTCTTTCGTCAAAATTAGGAAATTCAAGATGACGGACCCAATATGGCGGACGAGTATCGTAATTATGATCCGACTTTCTTCCAAATTGTTATCTGGGTGTTTTCGGGGTCAGAGATTATGATTTTGTGTCAAAATTTGGAAAGAGAGGGATTTGGAAATTCAAGACGGTGGAACCAATATACCAGACATGTTTTGTAATTATATATAACGATTCTATCCAAAATTTGTAAGTGAGCGTTTTCGGGATCAAAAATCATGATTCTTTCGTCAAAATTAGGGAATTCAAGATGGTAGATCCGATATTTGTAATTATGTTCGATTCTATTCAACATTTTCATCTGGGGTTTTAGTAGTCGAATATTATGATTCTTTCGTCAAAATTGGGAAATCCAAGTGTGATCTAAAAAGAAGTTGAAATAAATGGTAGTTTGACAAACTAAAGAAATACGCTTTTACAGATAGCGAAACTAAAAAGAAGTAGAAAATAAAATGATAGTACTGTCTTGACGAATATTGAACAGAAAAAATATATTATCGGCTTTTTCGCGTTATCTATAATATTTAATATACCCATTTTTTGCCAAACAACTTATTTTGATGAGTTATAAATCCTGTTCGCAAAAATAAACCTAACTTTCAGATTCACACCCTGTATAGTTATCGTACATTTTTCTATAGTCTAAAATTATACTCAGCAAAGTCTGGTAGCATTAATATATAAGTAACTGAATAATCTTTAAATCCTCAAATACCGACAAACATTGTTCTCGTTCTTATTTGATTTTTGGAATAAATATGTCAAGCCATGAAATATCATCTTTGTGATGGTTTAATATTAATTAATAGTATTTGCTTAAATGTTCCACAGGGATGGATTCAGTATCAGTAATAGGTAAAGGAAGGTACTCTTTCATGGGAAAATCTTGTCAGATCTATCGCCAAAGCTGTTTCACAAAAAAAGACAACAGAGCACAGGTAGAACAATGAAAATAAAAAACGCTAAATATTCAGTTTATGATCTTGATTACAAGTCTACATTCTCTTAGGAATGAGAAACCTAACAAACCTTGACTATTTATAAAAGGTGCTGAAGAATAAAACAATCTTGAAACTTTAACGTTCTGTGGGTCTGTAACGAGGTGTTTGCGATCACATAATATTTATAGGAGAAAAAAAAGTCTCATTTTGACCTGAAAAATGCGAGTCCCTGAAATCTTGATACTAAATTTTACAACACCCTGTATGCAAGGGGTTCAGCACATACGCTGATGCTCTCAGGTTCCAGAGCAAAGCTCTAAAAAAGACGCAAAATGTCACTAGTTTTTCCTCAAATTGACAACAATGAAATACAAAAATTGGTTTCGAGTGCTTCCGCTGTTACCTGACATTAGATCTCATCTAACAATAATATGAGATATGAGAATACTAGAAATAGTTTGGTTCTATGACACTTTGCCGTATTACAGCAATTATTTGGAAATTTGGCACCTTGATTTGCAATGAAACTACCCAGATAACACTGAATATCCTATGGACATCCATTTCATGTCCAATTCTGGTCGGGATATCCCTGGATTCGAAATGGACATCCATAAGATATCCATTGAAGGATTTGAAATGGAGATCCTTCAATAGATATCTTATGGATATCCATGAGATATCCGCAAAAATTATGAATATTCTCAAATTGCAAAATTATTTCAATAGTTCAAATTTCCGAGTTTTCTCCACACTTGTACACGAACTAAACCATTGACGGAATACCTGTATATTTAGTTTTGTTTCTGGATTAGAAATGGATATCTATAAGATATCCATCGAAGGAGTTGAAATGGATATCCTTAAGTAGATATCTCATGGATATCCATGATATATCCACAAAAATTATGAATGTTCTTGAATTGCAAGATAATTTTGATAGTTTAAATCCCTGAATTTTCTTCACACTTGTACACGAATTAAACCATTTACGGAATACTCATATTTTTTGTTCACTTTCTGGATTTGAAATAGATATCCATAAGATATCCATCGAAGGAGTTGAAATGGATATCCATCAATAGATATCTCATGGACTTGCATAAGATATTCGCAACCATTATGAATGAGTTTGAATTGCCAGATTATTTTAAAAGTTCAATTTTCCGAGTTTTCTCCACACTTGTACACGAACTAAACCATTGACGGAATACTCATATATTTCGTTTTGTTGCTGGATTTGAAATGGATATCCATAAGATATCCATCGAAGGAGTTGAAATGGATACCCTTCATTGCATATCTCATGGATATCCATGAGATATCCGTAACCATTATGAATGACTTTGAAATGTTAGATTATTTTAATAGTTCAACTTTCCGAGTTTTCTCCACACTAGATTTTATACAATTACCGTCTTCATTTCACACCATTACACTATATGAGGAAAAATCTCAATTTACTACAACAGTAATGAAATACCTATGAAACAATTGAAATAAGAAAACTGTGAACAACAATATATTACTATCTGAAGGATTCCTATACGGCGAATAATTTCTTCATAACTCCTAAACATTTTTATTTTTCCCAACTCGGACATTTCTGGACCTATGTTCATACGAACTTTCTTCAATAATCTGCTCAGCGACATCTCTTGCATTATTTCACAGCCACATCAGTTACGGAATAACCATATGGGGAAACTCACACAATGCAGACAGAATCTTCAAACAACAAAAAAAAGCATTAAGGATTATGGCTGGTTTGGGACCCAGGGAACATTGCAAACCAATATTCACAAATCTAAAAATAATGTCACTTCCCTCACTCTATATTTATGAAACATTACTTGAAATTCATAGAAACAAGAATAAATTCAAAATGTGCTCTCAATTCCATGACTACAACACGAGATCATGCAATTCTCTCAGATCTGATAGAGTTAAGTATGCTATAACTAGGAATAATAGTCTAGATGTGAAACTCTATAATCATTTACCAGAATGCTTTAGACAACTACCTGAATTCAAATTTAAGAATGTTCTGAAAAACCATTTCATAATACATTGCTTTTATTCAAAACAGGAATATCTAGATAATACTGTATTCAATTCCAATTTTGAACAGTGATCAGTTGCTTGCCCATTCACACTGCCTTGAATGTTAATTGCCTTCAATTTTAATTGGCAATTTTATTTTTATTTTTATTTTATTAGTTCATGTTTTATATTACAATCAGTATTCTTTTAATCTAATTGTATTTTATATATCTTGATCGTCTGGCTTTATATTTTTAATTCATCAATGTTATGTATGTATGTATGTTTGCAATGTATGCATGTACCATTAATTAGTTATTTAAATTTTATTTTTATTTTTCTCTTGTCATGTTTTATCATATCTTGTATCTTATATATATATATATTTGCTTTGTATTGACCTGTCAGAAACATACTGTAAATTGATGGAAATAAACTCTACTCTACTCTACTCTACTCTCCCCTATAGGCTTTTGTCACTTCAACTCTGAAACACCATGTACAGTGTGTCCAGTTTTCGATGCTTTTGTGGGATATCTCAGTTATCTTTGGAGATAGAACCTTGCGGGTTTCGCGGTCCTGTGCCACTTTTTTGTGAAACTCAAGATGGCCTTATCAGATTTTGCATAACTGTTTCCGTTTATGAGATACAGGGCGATTTTGAAAATTTATACTTTTTGGACCCCCCCTATATCTACGAAGTTTCTCAGCAAAAATGTCAAATTTGAATCTCATCCCATATAAAAGTCCACGCAGAATTCAGTGGCGCACTCGACATTTTTTTTCGGGGTATGGTTTTGGAGATACGACTCAAACTTATGATTTTTTAAATGGAACACCCTGTATTTTATAAGCTCACAAAATTCCTAATTTTTTTCTCTTCAAAATGATTTATAATGTATGTATATGAAATTTTCAAAAATGCTCTGAAATCACTGAAACATTGAATTTTAATAGTGGGCTATGGATTTTTCTTATAAAAAAGGTCCAATTGAAGGAATATTCATTTTGATTTTTCCATAAAGAGGACAAAAACAATACCAACACTAATTGACTAAGAAAACACACAAATTATGTACCTGATAGCAACAAATAAATGGTAATAAAAAGTTCATAATGTAGAATAAGCACCAGATCAAATATTTACAAATACAATTGAATTTCGGAATTATTCAATAACTTATTCACTGAATTGTTCAAATTGATGTCCATTTCCCATAACACACAATTGACACAGTTTCTCAATACGTCTTGATACAGTGAGAGCCACAAATATCTTGAAGAACTTCGTGCAACAACAGAGGCAGTTTTCCAGGAATAACAAAGACATCCTTTAATGATTTTGAATGCATTAAGACGTATTGAGAAAGCGTGTGAGGAAAAGTGGACATCAATTTGAACAATTCGATGAATAAGTTACTATTCAATTGTCTTAGTGAATATTAAATCAGGTGCTTATTCTAGAATATGAACTTTTTATTACCATTCATTTGTTGCTATCAGGTACCTAATTTTTGTGTTATCTTGATTAGCTAGTGTTGGGATTGTTTTTGTCCTATTCATGGAGGAATCAAATGAAATATCCCTTCAATTGGAACTTTTTTAAAATGAAAAATCCATAGCCCATTATTAAAATTCAATGTTTTAGTGATTTTGGAGCATTTTTGAAAATTTTATACCTATCCATCATATTTAATTTTGATGGGGAAAAAATAAGGAATTTAATGAGCTTATAAAATACAGGGTGTTCCATTTAAAAAATCATAAGTTTGAGTCGTATCTCCGAAACCATACCCAGAAAAAAAAATTTGAGTGCGCCACTGAATTCTGCGCAAAATTCTGGATGGGATAAGATTCCAATTTGACATTTTCGCTGAGAAACTTCGTAGATATAGAGGGGGTCCAAAAAGTATAAATTTTCAAAATCGCCCTGTATCTCATAAACGCAAACAGTTCTGCAAAATCTGATTAGGCCATCTTGAGTTTCACAGAAAAGTGGTACAGGACCGCGAAAACCGCAAGGTTCTATCTCGAAAGATAACTGAGATATCACGCAAAAGCATCGAAAACTGGACACACTGTACATGATATCACCGTGATTACCATTGCATTTCAATCAAAACATGTCAAAAACTTCAATAAAATCCGATTTGGTCTTTTTGTGTTTTAGAATTCTGTTTCGCAGTGTATCGGTGTATATAATCCCTTCTCATTGATTTTGTCACAGTATTGGTAAGCAATCTGATAATTTTGAAGATGGACAAACCATATATCAGGAGGAAAAAAATGTTAAATAATGTCTATAAGAAAACGAGGAAGGAACTAGATTCTGGTGAAATAATGAGAGACACATCAGTAGATTCATCAACCTGTGGCATTATGGATGGTCCATCATGGATATCTTATGGACATACAAAACGGTGGCCAAAGTACATCCATTGGACATCCATACGATATCCTTTGGATAAGATTTGGATATCCAACGGATATCCAGAATATTCTGGTTGGATATCCATCGGACATCCATAGGATGTCCGTGTGTTATATGGGTATGCATTTGCATTTTTATAATGCGTTGGACAAAAGAATTCATGTGATAAAATAGTCCAAAAATGCCAATGTATCTTTGAAAGCCCCTTGATCCGTCTCTGAAGAACCATAACGACTATAGTACTTATGCTATGCAGCTGATTTTGCACGTGCTAACATCAACACATGATCAAATATTCCGCATTTATTTACAAACCATGATAAGTATCAGCAGAAACTGTCTGTTCCACTATCTTGCTACACTATCATGTAAGTATCAAAACTTCCTATATATACGTTAAAAAAGAAAGTTAACAAGTATTCTTCGGTGGTACTAAATTTTCTATCGATTTTTTTCAGGTTCCCTCTCAATGATGAGCTACGGGATCAACTTCAGCTGGACATCACCATACCTCCCGATCCTAACATCAAACACCTCCATAATCCCCATGACCAGCGAAGAAGGATCCTGGTGCGCCATCTCCCCCATACCAGGCTGCGTCATAGGAGCCTTAATCAGTGCAAACCTAGCCGACAGAATAGGCAGAAAACATACCATACTGGTCTTGGCACCGGTAGTGTTAGCCTGCTTCGTAGCCATAGGCTACGTCAGGAACTACTGGTGGCTTCTAACCTTGAGAATGGTCATTGGTATCGCTGATGGAGCAGCTTTCGCGCTTGTGCCTATGTACGTTGGAGAAATAGTCGAGCCTCAGTTCAGGGGATTCCTAGCATCTCTCAGCTACCTCTTCTACGTAGCTGGAGGCCTGGTAATCAACATAATAGGACCAGCTTACAGTATCTTCGGTTCCAGTATGATATCTGCTGCTATACCAGCCATCCACTTCTTGAGCTTCGCTTTCATGCCCGAATCGCCCTACTACTTGGTCAAGGCTAACAAATGCGAACAGGCAGAGCACTCCCTGAGGATACTGAGGGGTAACCAAGATATCCGTAAAACCATCGAGGCTTTAAAGGATGCAGCTAAACAAGAAGCGCAACTCGGGGAGAAGCCTGTACTAGGGGACATATGGCGCGTGCCCAGCAACCGCAAAGCCTGTTTCATCTTCTTGATAGCTAGTTTAGCGTCTAGAGCCGCAGCTAAGGCTCCTTTGATTTCTTATACCATGGCTGTTTTTGAAGAGGCTGGGACGAATATCAGCACAGTGAATTCGACTATCGCTTATTGCACTGTGGAGCTTGTGGTCGCTTTCATCACCACTTGCTTCATCATTGATAGGTTTGGGAAGAGATTTCTGGTTATAGTTTCATCTATGGGATGTGTTGTTACCTTGGCGATGATGGCAGTATACTTTTTCCTCAAATATTTCGATCATGCTGCGGTGGAATACTTGGGTTGGTTTCCCCTAGCTACTCTGATAACTTACAACGTTCTATTCAACATTGGCTTGGCGTTTGCTCAAATGTGCTATCTCAGCGAGCTGTTTCCAATGAATGTCAAGGCTAATGCGCTGAGTCTAGCTGAGATTTGGAATTGTCTTTCATCTGCATTTTGTATCAAAATGTTTCAGATGTTGACAGACTGGTCAGGGACGTTGGCTGTTACTTTTCTGGTATTCGCAGTGTGGAGTTTGGTTCTGTTTGTCTTCATTGTGAAATATGTGCCAGAAACCAAGGGAAAGAGTTTGGAGGAGATTCAAGTGTTTTTGAAAGAGAAACCAAACGACCCTATTGATTCTAAAGGCAGCCCATAGATACTGAAATAAACTTGTGAATAATGAGAACGGCATTTTATTTTATACATTGGCCATATCACCTAGATCATCTTTTTCCTCTCCAAATTTTCTATCTTGAAACCCAACGTATTCATGCTAAGCGCAATACTACAAGATAACTTCGCGCTATCCCCCCTCTCATCCATGAATCGTGTTCCAGATTTCTGATTCTGAGCACAGTTCCGACGATAGTATGCATCGTAGGCTTGATATGGGCTTCGGAGTCTCCCAGGTACCTCTTGGAAGCCTCCAGAGAAGTGGAGGCTTTAGCGGTGTACCAGAGGCTACATAGACTGAACAATAGCAGGACGCAGTACGGCCTCACGGAATTAGAGCTGCCCGGACGTAGTGCATACAGAGAGAGAATGAGTCCCACAAGGAATATCATCAAGCATGGTGTCAATTCGGTAAGTTCAATCCTCGGAGTGGCATATAATATTGAAACTGCGACTTGTTTTTTTACTGTTTCTAGTTTCGAGAGGCGTTTCAGTTTGTTTCGTGCCCAGCCAATTTCCGAAGCACCCTACTGTTAGCATCACTCCATTTCCTCCTGGGGTTTCTGTACACGGGCCTCACTACCTACACCTCGGCAATAATGCAGGATCAAAGGGACCATAAGTATTTTTCTGATAAGCAATACATTTCCAACGAGAACTATACAGGGGTGGTTTTCAATAGTACCCTAGAGAATAGGGAGTACCAGAATGCGTTGTTCAAGAATGCGACGTTCACTCACTTGTTGCTGAATCACGTGGGCTTCGTTAATTGTACAGTCATTGAGTCGGAGTTCATCGATGTGAAGGCCTCGGTTTCCTATTTCAAAGATTCTAGTATCATAGATTCCAGGTGAGTTCACCTTTCACTTCTTTTCCTTTATTGGTACATACTTAGATTTCATGATGTTACAGGTTCATCGACACAGATCTCACTACCCATCACTTTGTCAACTGCTCTCTTATCAACAATACCTTTCTGTCGGTTATATCTGACTGCACCACGAACTTCGACTACAACAATCACCTGGAGGAGCTACATCAAGAGACTACCGAGTGGTCAACAATAATGGCCGTGGCTCTCGTAGTTTTAGGTGAGATGGCTACACAAACATAGGGAATATGATATTCTCCCCACTAGCTCTAAAATCTACCTCCATGTGGTAGAAAGATATTTGAACTCAAACCTGCTTCTTTGAACAGAAGATATCCTAACCTTACATAGATAAAAATTCAAACAAGACCGAAAATCAGCATTAGAATGCATAATTCAAATAAATATGGCTGAAAAAATAAGATACTGAATATAAATGTATGTTCTTCATTTTGACATGAATACTAGTGCTTTCAAAATACTTTACTCAGATTTACAGCACAGCACTAAAATGATAAATACAATATACACCTTGGTATTGAAGAAGGTTATTAGGTACCTACCACAGGACTTTCTGATGATCAATTTGGCAAGTTTTATATCCTCCACAGAATTTACATCTTTCTGCGTATCATCAATTTCTAGTTCAATCGACGTTGTCTTTTCCAGGATTCGGGCTCGAATGCGGCAAAGCGAGCAGACGGCGGTTTATGTACGTCGCCATGTTGGTGGTGGGGGGCAGCGCGATCGGAATACTGTTCATGGCCGACTATACGAAGGCGAGGATCATCGATGTGAGCATGCGCGTGTGGTTGACTTGCGCAGTCAACGCTCTGACGTTGGTGGTGGTGGAGGGGTACCCCTGCCATTTGAGGTGAGACAGAAGAAATTTAACATTCCCATTTCACTTTAACAAACATTATCGCAGCGTTGCCAAGCGTACGATAATTATCAAATCCGTACCATAATTTGGCCTTGTGTACCATGTACCATAATGGTACGCCTTTTGTACAATAATTTGGGCATGAAGAGCAACGAGTATATTTGCTAGTTCATTTTCGCCAATTTTTGCTTTCGTTGATACATGACATTCGTTAAATTTGCTGATTTCACAGTTGATTTAAAAAGTTTTTCACAAAACATATACTTCACGAATCTGTAAGGACGTTTGTTACGTGTGATTCACCTGTGATCTCAAATGTGATGTTACCACATTTTTTTCAACTCGAACACTTGACAACGAGAATAGAAAAAATGAAGAATGGAATGCTTCTGTTAAGTTATGCTGTTGTTTTTCATTCATTTTGGAAAAAATAATCCAAAATTGAGCTCTTTTCTACCTTCGAACGAGAGAGAGGAATGTTCTCTCCTCTTCTATCTTTCTCTTCAATGCTACCAACGCGGCCGCATTGAAATATAGAGAGATCTGATAAATCTTTCCTTGTCTAACGCCTACTCTGCACCACTGAACTATTTTCGATGTTAGAATGATGTGACATGTCTATTTCAGAAATGTCATTGACTGATAACCTTTCGAATTTTTTTAATGAAATTTCGAATTATATCATACTAATTTTGACATCACCTGTTAATATCGTTAAATTTGACTCTGCTGATTTCAAGAATTAATAGTTCAGTGGCACAAACTTGACGCGTTTGACGTTAGCACGTTAGACAAGGACAGATTTATCGGACCTCTCTATATTTTAATGCGGCTACGTTGGTGTCATTGAAGAGAAAGATGGAAGAGGGGAGATCTTTCCTGTCTCTCTCTCTCGTTCAAGGTAGGAAAGACCTCAATTCAGTCCTGAATCTCGATGTCATTTCATCTCTCAATCTCAATTGTCAATACGAGCCAAAGTGTTAATTTCAAGCTGTTGCCTGTTGGTACAATAATCGTGAATCCAAAGGTTGGCAACGCTGCATTATCGTATCTGTATCTCGAATGTACTTAGTCAAAACGTGTTTTATTTTTTAGGTGTACTGCCCATGGAATGATGCGCAGTTTGTTTCACATAGCGTCCCTTTGTGCCATTCCCATATACAACGTGTTGGTTCAAGAACCTGTTATGTTTTCGGTCATTTTGACCGTTTTATTAGCACTATACGGCGCTTTCATATCGAAAGAAATCCAAGATAATAGCAAGGTTTTGTTGTAATTCATATATTTCATTCACACACCTTACACCATACACAATAAGGTGATGGATAACAACGTAAAAGGTATTTTTTTTTACTTTATGAGATTTTGCTGATGTATATCCATGTTAAAACCAACTGATTTTTGTATCCGATGTTATGTGTTGGAAATTTTTGGACGTGTCCACGTGTCAAATATACCTAATTGGAGAAACTTCTAAACAAAATTCGGAATAACCGTCCAAAAAGTTATCTCTTCCCCTATTGATGGTTATTGGAGTCGAACATTGGAAAATTTGATTCGCACGACCCCCATATTTTTGTAAAATAATTATATTATATACCTATACCTATATCTCTTTGGAATTTTAGTCTGTGATAAACAAATTACATATTGAAAATATTCTGCACCGAATACCATATCATTATAGCTATTATGTACTTTGCCGCCATATCAAGATACAATTTGTTTGCATATCAATATTTATTAAATGCTCGCATAAACATAAGTCAAATTATAATATCCAAAGACGAATTTTTCAAAGATAGAACCCTATTCCTGGTAATCGAGAACTGTATAAATGTACCCTGAGGAATACCTTTATTTGTATCGTTGAGAAATAAAAAATCTAAGGAACGTGCATTATTTTTTTACTTCCACAAGTAGATGTACACTCTAGTCTTCAGAAAACATGGCGCGGTTAGAAGGTATACAGTGTACACATTCACTTACCCTATATTTCTATTTATCAAAAACATAATACTAGATGTTCTAACGAAAACGAAATTACTCCCGCTAACTTGCAAATAATAAAACAGTATTTTCAAATTCCGATCGAAAACTACTCGAGACATCTGATGGTATTAATCGGTATCACTGGTGGTTGGTAGGAGAGCGAGAGAAGAGCGGAGATGTTTAATTCGATACCAATGCCATCTACCAGCTTTCGTATGCAACACAACATTTCTTCCAACATAGACGACAGTAGAAATCTTTATTAGTATGGAAGACTATCGTCAGCTATCGTAATTAATATTTATGTATGCGTAGCTCAAAGTTGTGCCAACAGATGGAACAGCTATGAAAATAATATAGAGAGTCACTGTGAACAGTTTCATAAATGATTCTAAATGTAATTTTTTTCCAAAGTTTTATACAACGTTCAAACGTAAGGTATATTCGAATATCTCGGACTTCTGCAGTTGAAATTGGATTAGGAAGGTCCAGGAAGACGCAAGTCACAAGGATGAAACCGAAGAACGAATCTGATGATGACAGGAACGATTTCTATGGATATGAATCGAGGTTATCATTTTTGTATATTCAAATGAACGTAGAATGGGGTGACTTGAAATCGTGTGGTGACTTGAAATAAAATGCAGTGAAAATTTTGAAGTAGTGGCAACGTCGCATGTCAACGGAAGAAGCTAAACTAGTCTTTCAGTCTAATGATTTTTTGTTTATTTTTGTAGTTTTTTATCTTTTTTGTATTTTGCTAAAAAATATTTGTTCTAAAACACAGTGTTTTTTTATGAAATTGATGATTTCTATATATTTTTTATTTAATTTTCATTTCATGTCACCACCTACACCATCCTACTTGAAATAATCGTTGATAAGAAGTCATATTTCAAGTCACCCCATATTGGGGTGACTTGAAATATGACGTTTGACATTTTTTTTTTCGAAAACTACACTATATAGAAACGGTTTTAATGTATCGTTCTGTTCTTTAGGGTCGAAAGAGTTGGTGACTATTTTTAGTTTGGTTGAAAGTTGCATGGTAAGGTCGCAATCTATGGAAGTGTGTCAAAAATCTTATCAAGTCACCCCATTCTACGGAACTTAAGAAAAATATTTGTTTTCCGAACCAACTTCTCACAACTTCCGTATTTGACTTGGAAAATCGATTAGAAAGAAAGATGCAAAACTCCCCTCGATCTCCGATACTTTGCAGTATTCCCATAAAGAGAAGGTCTGGTCTGGTAGATTTCTGGTCTGATCCACTGTGAAAACTTCTGTTGGGTACACTCTATTTTTTGATGTGATTGAATAAACTGAAATATCCTGATAGTTATGGCGAAAAAAAATTCTCTTCCGTTAAAATTTTCAAGGAAGCATTTTGTTGTAGTCAAACACCCTGTACCCTGTAGGTATCGTGTGTATAGTAGGGAAGTAGGAAGAGCGGATGAATCAAATTATGATTTTTAAAAGCTCTCGAGTGTTTCTTGAGTGGTTTGAGTGAAAATATGTTATTTCCTTGTTTAAATTTATATGCCATCAGCAATGGCTTTATGGCCCTCAGTTGTCATTTCACCCAATTTAAGCAAATACATACATATCATGGCATCATTTGAATTATGTATGTGATTTTTGGAAATTGCAGGTTTTCATCCATTGATAATGAGATAGCTACTTCAAATCTGACACCATTATTGAAATTATCATTCAATTATCTGAAAGTTTATCGATTCAAGTGAGGGGTATAGTTACTCATTTTTGATAATAAGAGGAGTTACAATATTTTTAACCTTCATTCAACAATGTATTGGATCCAACTGTATACACAACAGTATACCGACTGTCCCCAAGGGTTGGTTTTTGTTTGAATATTCTATGAATGTTTTCACAACGTTCACAACATACCTCCTCCCATAATATTCCGAAGAACGTTCATAGAATATGATGAGGATGTTCTGAATGTTCAAAGAATGTTTCACGTTTCATCTAAATATCCTAGGAACGTTCCTCGAATGTAGGGTTTCAAAAAAAAATTAGTTGGAACGCCGTTTATATCATGTTTCTTGTTTTCCACCTCCATATAGATAATTGACTCCCCCTTAATCTATTCCAAACACTAAACTCGTGATTAGTCGTGAAACTATCAGTGAGGTAGCTAGAAATATATTTCAGGGTGGGCATACCTGATGATTTTGAGTGATTTGTGAAAATTGAAACATTAATAAATGAGCAAATCTTAGCTTATTTATTAAAAAACAAATAAAAAATTGGGGATGGCAATAAAATGAAACATAATTCTGGTGAAATATATAACTAAAGTGTAATTTGTTTCTATATAAGGTCGTTGGGTGAAAATGCAAAATCATTTCAAGTATACGCGATTAAGAAACTTATTTTATGCCACTGTTTCTATGCAATCGGAGAATATTTCCACACGCCATTTGTTGAGTTTGATAATCTCAGTTAGCAATAAGGCAAACGCTGTACCTGCATTGATCATTGACCGAAAACTCTGACATTTTAAACATGGTTCATACTGTTTTTGGTTTCACGATTTTAATCCATTCATTCATCATTTTATTTGATTTACTGTAATGTGTATGTATTTTATGATCTGATTGACTCATTTTGTAACTTGGTTAGATAAACATCTATCTATCTATCTGTATATCTATATCTATAAGGATACCAGTGCAAGAAATTATCATTATTATCAATTATTATCATTATCATTAATTTTACTTTTTCATTGGCGAAGCAATTTTATGCTGATATTTCTGACGACAAGAAAAATAATAATAATAGTCGCACCGGAGTCGCACCAACTCTCGACCCCCCCCTGCTCCCCCCCCTGGCTACACCACTGGAAACTATAACAATATCTTCAATTTGATTTTTATTATGCTATCAAGGTATAATGAACATGATGTGTAATGTGATGTTATCTGTCATCTTTTAAAACACAATTCAAAAGGTTTCAAAAAAATAATTTCTCGCCCCCGTAGACATCCCTCAATTTCGACCCCTTCGGTCTCAGCTGGCCATAAAAAAGACTCGTCACTGCAACTCAACGAGATAATTCGTGCCAATTAAATCGGATGACAAATTGTTTTTTTTTTCATCCGCGCCCTGCCAGATTGCCGGGGCCAATTCCCATTCGGCCCATTAAGAAGAATCCGCGATGAACTCTTCTAATCCACAGGGCGAAGGCGGCTTTCCCGGAAAGAAAGGCATCATTCGCCCTCCGGATTTATTTTATTAGGCACATTCAACACACAGAATGCAGAAATGAATGGTATACAAACTACAAGAATCGCTGGAAATCTTACCACAAAAAACGTTAATTATAAAGGGTGTCCGGAAATTATGCGCAAAAAATCAAGGGGGTGATTCTGCATGAGACATCAATTTGATTTGAAATTTATTTCATATATACTTGGGTCCGGGAATGCTTAGTTTTCAAAATAGAGTACGTTAACGTTAAAATTTTTAGAGAAAATCGGTTTTTTATAAACATCTCAATAAATATCCTTCCACGGATTCTCTTGAAATTTGGTAATGTTATTCCTTGTCATGAGGGGCAGATTTAATCATAATTGAATTGGAATTGTGAAATCCAGTGACGTCCCGGGGACACCTTAGAGAATATTATTGTCAATAAAATGTGCTCCACTAATTTTATACAACATTTTGAAAGAATTTTTGGCACAAAATTATGCAATAAATTGGTATTTTTTTCCATGGAAATGAAGCAAATTATCGAAACAATTCAAGAGACCGAAATGTTGTATTTTTAGTTGGTCAATAGGTTATAGAGATACATAATTTAAAAAAATCAGTGGCGCACATTTTATTGACAATAATATTGGGTAGATTGTCCCCTCGGAACGCCACTGGATTTCATATTTTCAATTGACTCATGACTATATTAGCCCCTCATGACAAAAAATATCAATGCCAAATTTCAAGAAAATCGGTGGACATATTATGAGATATGATATGTCGAGGCTAGAAGCATATGCAATGAGACAATTCGATCATCAAAGGATGCTCATAATGCCAAAATAAGATCAAAACTTGTTGAATATCCTAACGGATCCCGTTCATTTTGGTCCTTCGCCAAAGCTGTAGGAAGAAACTTCACTTTCAGCTCGTTTCCTCCTCTAACCAAGGAAGATGGAACACTAGCAACAACTGCCCAGGAGAAAGCCAACATTTTTGCGCATTTATTGGCAAATTCCACTCTGGAGTCATCGGGAAAACAACCTCCAAACATAACGCCAATCGACAGTCATATGCCCGAGATCACCTTTCGCCAACGTACTATAAGGAAGATTTTATTGGGTCTCAACACCAACAAAGCTTGTGGCTCCGACGGAATCCCACCGATTGTTCTCAAGAAATGTGCTCCCGAACTAACACCTGTTCTCTGCAAGTTGTTCAACTACTCTTGAAAATTGGGGAAAATTCCCATCCAACTGGAAAATTGCAAGAGTACAACCAATTCCTAAAAAAAGCAAGAAAACCCTACCTAGCAACTATACAGACCGATCGCACTGCTATCTATTATTTCAAAGATCATGGAGAAAGCTATCAACAACGAATTCATGAAATAACTGGAACATTCAAGTATTATTAACGATATAGGCAATATGGCTTCCGTCATCAGAGATCAACTGGTGACCTGCTCGCTAACGTCTCACACAATATATAGCAGCTATCTATGGAAAAATATGGTGAAACCTTAGCCGTGGCACTTGATATCTCCAAAGCATTCGATCGAGTCTGGCACCACGGATTCCTCGCCAAGCTTCCATCTTATGGCTTGCCTCCCCAGCTATGTTCTCTGCTAGCTAATTTTCTCTCAAACAGGTCTCTCCATGTAGTGGTCGACGGAGTTTCATCTGACTCTCATACCATAAATGCTGGTGTTCCACAAGGATCAATTCTAGCACCAACACTATTTCTACTCCATATCAACGATTTGTTGGAAGCAACTTAATGTCCAGTACACAGCTTCGCGGATGATAGTACCCTCCATACCGCCTTCTCTTCCAGGGCCACAATACCAGCCAGGCAAATCATAAACGAACGAGGGAGAAACGTTGACAACATAAATATGGACCTGGCAACAATTCTCGAATGGGGATCCAATAACTTGGTAGATTTCAATGCAAACAAAACACAAGCATGCCTTTTCTCTAGAAAAGCCGATCTTATACTGTGCCAAACATAAACATGTCAGGACTATAACCATACCTTTGAAGATATCGATTTCGATGCTTGGTATTACTATCAGCAATAACCTTTCTTGGGAAAATCACGTGAGATCAATTGCGATCTATAAGGCACAGATCCGACCTGTCTTGGAATACTGTTCCCATATTTGGAGTTCAGCACCAGAACATAACCTGGAACTGTTGGATTCTCTCCAAAAAAGGGCAATTAGTCTCGTGGGTGATACCTCGCTCACAAACTCACTCACTTCTCTGGAACACCGTAGAAAAGTTGGCGATCTGGCTCTATTTTATAGATATTTTCATGGACGATGCTCTTCTGAAATATCAACAATTGTATACCTCCCTTTGCAGTCCCCGCGAGATTAACCTGTCGAGTTGAGGCTTCGCACCCCTTCGTGGTCACTTTGGAGACCTGCAGAACATCTCTTTCCAAAGACTCGTTCATCCAACGAATATATATTGTTGTATCTTATATCCATTCCTTCAGCATTCTTTTTTTTAAGTAAATAACGGCAGCATCATCACCTGAATCATAACCCGCTCTCGCAGTCCATATACCCCTTTTTCATCCCCCACCCCACAGCCACAGCCATCTCTTCCCGGGTTCGCGTTATTGATATCATAAGGGAATAAGGGCGCGTTATTGCTCAACCCGAGGCAATTTTCTCTACGGCATCCCCGGAGACGGCTCAAAACGTTGCATAATTGTTTAATTATTGAGTATAATCTAGGCGGCGGCGGCGGCTCTCAGCCCGCTGTGATCATCAGATTTTCCTTTGAGGTAACTGTGAAGTTTCGCGAGTAACATCAAAGTATTGATCTCTCCTGATTTTTGGGACTTCTTCTTCTTCTTGGAGATTTCTGGAGGTGATAGTAGATTGAAAAATAAGTACTTTTTGATGAATAAACCGATGGCCCAGAATCCATAATGGCTTTCTGGTCAAGAAATTATCCATTCAAAAACGAAACCATATACCAAATTTGAACACAAAATATTCCATCATTCTCGATAGTTGAAGCGAACGAACCATTTTTTTTTTAATTTCAATATCCTATATCTCGAGAACTGAACACTTGAAGACCGTATGTCCCTATCTCATGCAGTAGTTAAGAAATCACTAGGGATATCATCTGTCAAGCGTATAGTCGGTCGAGGTTCGGAACACCCTGTATAAAATCTTTGAATAATATACTTGTACTAGCAAAATACGTATGACAAAAATCAACCAATATTAGGAAATTTAATTTCGATTGAAAATTAAAAAAATAATAAAGAAACTACGATATCCATTGGAATTATACTCATAACCAACCAAATCTGTCAATAACCAACCACAATGAATTTTGCTATGAATGCTCAAACTGAGTGATTAAGCATCAATCGAACTTGAACACCCTGTATCGGCTGTATCTCGAAAACTAAACAATTTAGGACACATACCTACATTATGATAACTTCAGTCCTAAAATAATCCAATTACCTACTTTTCAATATGTACATTACATTTATCAGCACCCTGTATATCATTTCCGAATTAATAGGTACCCTTAGCTTAGAGTTCTCAAAACGTCTTGTAAAGTTAATCTCAACATGTACTCATCTGCCTTTCTAAAAAATACTTTTTATGACTGCAGTAAAATAAAAGCTAGCAAAATAAGTAAAAAAGGCCTGAAAGGGAATAGTGACATTCACCTCTTCTAATATAATAATTGTAAAAATATTTTTAGTGGTAAAAAATCTTTTGCGGTAGAGTATGCGAAAGGGATGTTTTAACCTTTCTTTTATTGAAGGCAACCATAATAATTTACATTGCTTCTTTTTTATAGCCGACAAAGCTAAATATACAGTATCGGAGCATAAAATGCGATATCATCAGACACATCTGGAAAACGAGCTCATAATAACTGTGTTAAAATCTAGTGAAAATAATTTTTCTACACTATATATGTCCCACTTTAAGTGTTATCACACTCGTATTTCGGAGTAGAATTAAGTAATCAAATAATTCATTTCAAAATATACTTAAGCATAGATTAAACAAATTAATCTATGCTTGATGGAAGCCCATGGCAAATGTAGAAACTTTTCACATTTAAATGGACTACTCAAAAAGGTATAATGATTAGAATTACATATAAGTACATCACAAATATCAGGCATTATTTCATTTTTTAAACTGCATACTGTTCAATTTCTTCTATGTTGGGTCTCACATGTTTCATTATCGAGATATAATAGGGTGTTTTATCAATTCTGGTCATTTCTTTGAAGGCTCATAGCTAGCATACGAACCACCTGGTATATTTTTTTGATATTTGGTAGCCGTGCTTTCCCACTGCTACCCCAGCGACTTGTATATCCGTCAAAAAAAAAATTCAGGCCCGGATCAACAAAAATTTAACGTATAATTGGGTCCTCGAAAAAACACCCTGTATGTTTGAATTTACAAAATCCGCTTACATATCTACATATAAGCACAAAATGTTGAATTGATTTGTGTACTTTTTATGTTTCCACATGCTATATTTTACTACTAAATTTCTGAAGCTGCAATGAAGGATTTGTGAATTTCAATAGCTAAAAACGGGATATTTTCAGTTTTTTTTCAGCCTCAATAAAACTGCTGCATTTATGTTATATTATATTCAATGTTTCCCTATATGTATGTGGTAAATTGGGATTGAAAATCGACCTGTTTCAGGGAATAGTAAGGATTCAAATTCATCGTGGATCATGAAACCAATGACAGTGCCTTCTTACGAGGCGGGTAAAATGAAGGGAAAATTTCAAACTTTTCAATGCAAATATCTCGATCAATATTTAGTTATTCGTTCACATTTTCATTAGGAAATCTGTATTTTTAGATAAAAATAAGTTCCCAACAGAATTTTCGAAAAGATACAAATCGCATAAGTGCATATTCTCCCCGTTATCCATTAGAAGATATCCAATTTCTTTATATCCATAGAAACGCTTTAGCTCAGAGAATTGATTCCTTGGTAATTAAAGTTAACACTGCTACAGTTTTAGTTAGTGTTATATTATGTGACTAGCCCTGAACCCATCAGAATGACATCCCAATCAATCATCTATGACAGTCTATTCGAACACCAATATCTGCACATGAACTTTCTGATTTTCCTAATCTCCTTGCACCTTTCTACTGATGATTCCGATCGAGAGAAAAAGCTGTCGGGCTAAGAAAAGAACGCGAAACGCTGTGCCAGAGGTCTCGATCAGCTGCTGCAAGAAACCAGTGGAAAGTGGAACCCACCATACTTTGAGAGAGCTGGTACAGAAATGGAAGTTTACGTACAACCAATAATAATTGAAAAACAAGCGCAAAATATCAGAAAACAAATGACTTCTCCGCAAAGGACGGTAACTAGCATCTCCTGGTGAGTATACACTGAACTGAATGATTGAACAATCAGGTACCCGTCCAGTATTATCGTTATCCATCAGAATGACATCCAGCTCAATCATCTGATATTTTTTCCGAACACCATTACATCTGCTGCATCTGCATATGAAACTTTTCCTCATTCCCCTGATCTTGCACTTATCTTTCGTCTATTCGGATCGAGAGAAAAAGCTGTCGGACGAAGAAAAGAACGCGAGATGCTGCGCCAGAGGTCTCAGCTGCTGCAGGAAAGCAGTAGAACCCACGAACTTCGAGGTGCGAGCTCTGCTGACGAAGTGCCATCGTGAGGAGGAGGCTGGGGCAGCGTCCAAAACTTTGCCCCCGACGTCCGCCAGGAAGAGGCGGGTCCCTGAGGAGGGCTCGAAGGCCTGTCATCACGAGGTAAGATGACGATGTCGAATTTTATGAAAATTTTTGCCTGTGCTTGTGTACAGTGTGTCCAGTTTTCGAGGCTTTTGCGTGATATCTCAGTTATCTTTGGAGATAGAACCTTGCGATTTTCGCATTCCTGTGTCACTTTTTTGTGAAACTCAAGATTGCCTAATCATCAGATTTTGCATAGCTGTTTCCGTTTTTGAGATACACGCTGATTTTGAAAATTTATACTTTTTGGACCCCCTCTATATCTACAAAGTTTCTCAGCGAAAATGTCTAATTGAAATCTTAGCCCATAGACAATTTTACGCAGAATCCAGTGGCGCACTCAACTTTTTTTTTTCGGGGTATGGTTTTGGAGATACTACCCAAACTTATGATTCTCTGAATGGAACACCCTGTATTATGTCAGCTCATTAAATTCCTTATTTTTTTCTCTTCGAAATGATATATAATATATAAATATAAAAATTCCAAAAATGCTCCAAAATCACTAAAACATGGATGGATTTTTCTTATAAAAAATTTTCAATTGACGGAATATTTCCTTTGATTTTTCCATGAAGAGGACACAAACAATACCAACACTAATCAACTCACAACACACAAAACTTAGTCACATGATAGCAACAAATAAACAAGCAACAATTTTTTACAATTTAATTCGAATAATTCAATGAATAAGTTACTGAATAATTTCGAAATTCAATTGTTTTAGTAAATATTCATTCAGGTGCTTATTCTACATTATGAAGTTTTCATTACTATTTATTTGTTGCTTTCAGGAACCTATAGCTTTCGTATATATTGTCATTAATTAGTGTTGATATTGTTTTTGTCCTCTTCATAGAAAAATCAAAGGAAATATTTCTTCAATTGCTTTTTTTATATGAAAAATCCATAGCCCACTATTGAAATTCAATCTTTTAGTGATTTCTGCGAATTTTTGAAAATTTTATAACTATACTATTATCATCAATTATATTGAGAGGAAAAAATAAGGAATTTAATGAGCATATGAAATACAGGGTGTTCCATTTAAAAAATCATAAGTTTGAGTCGTATCAGAGCAAAACCGTACCCCGAAAATGAATTCTGAGTGCGCCACTGGATTCTGCGTGAAATTCTCTATGGGATAAGATTTTAATTTGTCATTTTCGCTTAGAAACTTTGTAGATATTGAGGGGGTTCAAAGAGTATAAATTTTTAAAATCGCCCTGTATCTCATAAACGGAAACCGTTATGCAAAATCTGATTAGGCCATCTTGAGTTTCACAAAAAAAGTGGCAACTGAGATATCATGCAAAAGCATCGAAAACTGGACACACTATATACGCATTATACAGGGTGTTTCATAATAAATGCGCAGGACTTCAGGATCTGATAGCTCGTCCAAAAATATGGAAAAAAAATGAAATAACTTACCCTCTGAAATGCACCATTTTCGAGATACAGGGTGTTGAAATTTGAAAAAAAAAATCGTTTTCTGCGAATATCTCTGGAACTTATCGCACCAGGGAACTGCTTTCGTGAGCATTTTCTATTCATTTCAATAGTTTTAAAAATTATAGAGTTCTGGTTTGTGTATACGGATAATGAGTAGCTGTGCTTATACATATATGTATAGTCCTGCGAGATAACGAAATATCTTTACTGAAATATGCTTATTGCAATTTTGTTGATCCCTCGTATCTTCAACTTCGAATAAATTTCCCTAGGTACAAAATGGTATTACCAACTGCAAGAAGAAAATCAAACTGACCGTGAAGATCAAGAACACCTGGATAACCAATTTAAAAAATCAGTATATCATAATTGATCATGTTTTTGACTCGGTAACGAATCAAAAACAGAAACTGCTGAATCCTTACGTGCTCAAAATAAGACAAGAGCCAGTCGTTCAGACTTACGAGCTAGGTTATGAAAGTATGGTCAACTCTGAGGCGAAAGAAAAAGTCCATAACAAAAAAGAACAAGGTGAGAACCGAGAAGTATGTTCATCTGGATAAGTTGGATGAATGATACTGTATATTTGAACAGCATCTACAGGGTTTATCATTGGAGTTAGAGAAAAACTTCGAATGCAGAAGTTGTAGGGTTTGTTCTGAACCTCCAGAAAATTATACAAGATGAAACAAATGAATATCGCTGATATAAGAAATGGGTACCAACTTCGGTAATTTTCAACAGAACACCCTATATATTCTACAAAAATAATAATAATGCAGTGAAAGCTCGAGCCACCTCATCAAGTTATGCCCGTACGGCATCACTTGAATGATCGTTATCAAACGTGGATCGGAAAATTTGGAACAGTGGAATGGCCGCCAAACAGTCCAGATTCAACACCTTTAGATAACTTCCTATGGGGCTATTAGAAGAAAGAAGTGTACTTATATAAGGAAAGAAGTAGAAATTTGGCTGATTTGAGAGGAAGAATTTTGGAATGCATTAAAATATTGAACAATCATCACTCCAACTTCATTTGCAATTCGATAAATAAATTGGATAAAAACTACATAAAATGTACACAAAACAACGGTGGTCACATCGAACATCTATGAAATTGCATCTCCTTCAGTTATAAAAGTGAGTTTTTTTTCTTTCATGGCAGCGATTTGGTGAAATCTAAAATGTTCATCCTCGAATATCTCGAAAACGGCTGAACCAAATATCAATGACCTATATATTTTTGGAATCAGGAAAAAGAGATCTTGTATTTTTTCGGAAAATATATAGGGTGCTCCATTGAAAATAACGAAGTTGGTACCCATTTTCTATATCAGCGATATTCATTTGTTTCATCTGGTATAATTTTCTGGAGGTTCAGAACAAACCCAACAACTTTTGCTCTCGAAGTTTTTCTCTATCTTCAATGATGAACCCTGTAAGTAGAAGCTGTTTAAATATAGGGAATGACCCTGTACATTCATTATTCCAAATTATTTGGGATTTTCTGTCTCTATGAAATAAAAATATCAATATTATTTCATGTATGTATTCACTACTGAAATCTGAAAATGAAAATGGAAAATTCAAGATTAATTAATGGAATTTGCCATACAAAAAATCCATTTTTTATGTTGAAAACGGGAGCAGATTCCTTCCCGAAACGGCCAAAACTGAGTGGCAGTGGAAATTTGATATTTTTTCTAAATATACCTTTATTTCTCTTCTCCAAACCTTTTCCAACACAAATTGTCACTGTCAAGCTGGTGAATTTTTCTTTCAGGCACTCTGATAGGAAATTCTTTAAACGCATCAGTGACATTCTGGGGCAAATCATCTGATTTGTCCTTACTACACGTATATTGATATAATATTGATATTTTTATTTCATAGAGACGCGGAGAGAAAATCCCAAATAATCTGGAATAATGGATGAATGATCTCGTTTTTTCTAGGTTATACAGGGTGCAGCGTTAATCCCTCGAAAAACCCAACATGTGGTACAATGAAATATAGGAACGAGGTGATACCATACAGCACTGGATTTTGCTGCTCTTGTGATGAAAATAATAATAATGAAAATAAAAACCATGATGGAAAAATGGCGAGGAATGTTAGCTTTTCTCCTGACGGGATTGCCGATACTTTCAAAATGTCGTTTCCATCTGGATTTTCGAGAAAATCGAGAACAAGTTTTAATGGTGCTGGTGAGTGATGGCAAAATAAATAATCTGGAATTCATGACAAAGGGTATACAATACAAGATAAGGTTGCACACTATGGGGATCTCGCAAACGGAATGAGATAAAAAAGTTGCGTATTCGAAGGATCATGTCAACAGCATTCGAAAATTTTCACTTGTAATACCACTAGAGGTCAAATTCCCGGAAAGTAATTTGACCTCGTGTGGTATTCGGTAAGAAAATTTCACACCAGATTGTGTTTGAAAATTAAATAATTTTAGCAATTATTTGTTCATTTGATTATTTGCATGCAGGTTCATGAATACATTTAGTTTCGGCACCAACAATATATTCCTGATTTGTACCTATTATATTTGCATGAAAATACTAGGTTAAAATTGTATTCTTCCATTTTATTTTAACTTCGGGATACTCCTCGTGATAAGAAATTATAATTTTGTCAATTAATTTTTCATAGGTATAGGTAGTGAGCCATTTTTGCTTTTCCTATTCCTTCTCTCTTCCACCTCATAGTAATTTGATCTTCCTGTTGAAGCGTATCAATACCAGAGATTTCGAATGTTAGCCTTCCATAACGCCTCAGAGTTGTATGACATTCTATATAACAGATGCAGTTAGGGCATCAATGGATTCTTAGCCTATTGATTGTTGATTTCTACCCAATTGGAGTGGTACAAAATCACTATTTTAGTTAGGACGTCAAAATATTATTCTGTCATTAAAACGTGAAATAAAATTTCCGATTTCATATACGCTGGTGGGTACCCGAAGCAAAAAATGTCCACTGAAATACATACGTTGCTATAATTATTTGTCATAAAAACCCAATTTAACTATATAAAAATCACTGGTGTGTAATTTTCAAGATAATTTATAGTTTTTCAATTATATCGAAAAAAGCGAATTTTTCGAAAATCTATTTTATTTTTTTGAACGATATTATAAGAGATTTGATGAGATTTAACGTGATGATATTGATCATTTCGACATCGAATTAGTCTATGTGAATTTTTTCAGATTTTTAATAGCCAAATGAAAATTTTCATTTCCCCACCTGAGACTTCAGTACGATATAGTCACCGAGCTATCTTCGAACGGCCAAAAGTACCAGAAAACGGCGGGAAGTCACGCGATTCATTGTTTTCCCAGTAGAAAATGACACGCTGAATCGAATGAGACTATGATCAGCCCGATAGGACAGATAGTTTTTGAGATATCGTCGCTCAAAGGCAGCTTTCCGATTCCATTGCCAATAGGTGCACTCCGGTAGGCTACTACGTCTCAATTTTCCAAAATTCACGAATTTCCACCACATACTCGTTCATTTCGACATCGAATCAGTCTATTTGAATTTTTTCAGATTTTTAATAGGCCAAATAAATATTTTCATTTCCCCACATGAGATTCCAGTACGATGTAGTCACCGAGCTATCTTCGGACGGCAAAAAGTGCCACAAAACGGCGGAAATTCACGCGCGGTTTATTGCTTTCTCAATAGAAAATGACACGCTGAATCGAATGAGACCATGATCAGCCCGATAGGACAGATAGTTTTTGAGATATCGGCGCTCAAAGGCAGCTTTCCGATTCCATTGTCAATAGGTGCACTCCGGTAGGCTACTACGTCTCAATTTTCCAAAATTCACGAATTTTCACCACATATTGTGGTGAATTTTCTGCAGATTTTTAAGGAATTTTTCCAATTCTCAGGAATTTTTGCGACTTCTGCAAATGTTTGCAATTTTCAGGAATTTTTGCAATTTCTGCAATTTTCAGGAATTTTCGCAATTTTCAGGAATTTTTGCAATTTTTGCGATTTTCAGGAATTTTTGCAATTTTTGCAAATTCTGCAATTTTCAGGAATTTCTGCAAATTCTGCAATTTCCAGATATTTTTGAAATTTTTGCAATTTTCAGGAATTTTTGCAATTTTCAGGAATTTTTGCAATTTTTGCAATTTTCAAGAATTTTTGCAATTTCTGCAATTTCCAGAAACTTTTTGCAATTTTTGCAATTTCTGCAATTTTCAGAAATTTTTGCAATTTTTGCAATTTTCAGGAATTTTTGCAATTTTCAGGCATTTTTGCGATTTTTGCAATTTTCAGGCATTTTTGCGATTTCTGCAATTTTCAGGAATTTTTCCAATTTTCAGGAATTTTTGAAATTTTCAGGAATTTTTGCAATTTCTGCAATTTTCAGGAATTTTTGCAATTTTTGCAATTTTCAGGAATTTTTGCGATTTTTGCAATTTTCAGGAATTTTTGCAATTTCTGCAATTTCCAGAAATTTTTGCAATTTTTGCAATTTTCAGGAATTTTTGCAATTTTTGCAATTTTCAGAAATTTTCGCAATTTTTGCAATTTTCAGGAATTTTTGCAATTTCTGCAATTTCCAGAAATTTTTGCAACTTTTGCAATTTTTGCAATTATCAGGAATTTTTGCAATTTTTGCAAATTCTGCAATTTTCAGGAATTTCTGCAATTTCTGCAATTTCCAGATATTTTTGCAATTTTTGCAATTTTCAGGAATTTTTGCAATTTTTGCAATTTTCAGGAATTTTTGCAATTTTTGCAATTTTTGAAATTTTCAGGAATTTTTAAAATTTTCAGGAATTTTTGCAATTTTCGGGAATTTTGGCAATTTTTGCAATTTTCAGGAATTTTTGCGATTTTCAGAAATTTTTGCAATTTTTGCAATTTTCAGGAATTTTTGCAATTTTTGCAATTTTCAGGAATTTTAGCAATTTTTGCAATTTCTGCAATTTTCAGGAATTTTTGCAATTTTTGCAATTTTTGCAATTTTTGCAATTTTTGCAATTTTTGCAATTTTTGCAATTTTCAGGAATTTTTGCAATTTTCAGGAATTTTTGCAATTTTCAGGAATTTTCGCAATTTTCAGGAATTTTTGCAATTTTTGCAATTTTCAGGAATTTTTGCAATTTTCAGGAATTTTTGCAATTTTCAGGAATTTTTGCAATTTTTGCAATTTTCAGGAATTTTTGCAATTTTCAGGAATTTTTGCAATTTTTGCAATTTTCAGGAATTTTTGCAATTTTTGCAATTTTCAGGAATTTTTGCAATTTTTGCAATTTTCAGGAATTTTTGCAATTTTTGCAATTTTCAGGAATTTTTGAAATTTTCAGGAATTTTTGCAATTTTCAGGAATTTTAGCAATTTTTGCAATTTTCAGGAATTTCAACAATTTTTGCAATTTTCAGGAATTTTTGCAATTTTCAGGAATTTTTGCAATTTTCAGTCATTTTTGCGATTTTTGCAATTTTCAGGCATTTTTGCGATTTCTGCAATTTTCAGGAATTTTTACAATTCTCCGGAATTTTCGCCATTTTCTCATTTTTCAGGAGTTTTTGCAATTTTCAGGAATTTTTGCAATTTTCAGGAATTTTCGCAATTTTTGCAATTTTCAGGAATTTTTGCAATTTTCAGGAATTTGTGCAATTTTTGCAATTTTCAGGAACTTTTGCAATTTTTGCAATTTTCAGGAATTTCTGCAGTTTTTGCAATTTTCAGGAATTTTAGCAATTTTTGCAATTTTTGAAATTTTCAGTTTGGCAATTTTCAGGAATTTTTGCAATTTTCAGGAATTTTCAGGCATTTTAGCAATTTTTGCAATTTTCAGGAATTTTTGCAATTTTTGCAATTTTTGCAATTTTCGCAATTTTTGCAATTTTTGCAATTTTTGCAATTTTCAGGAATTTCTGCAATTTTTGCAATTTTCAGGAATTTTTGCAATTTTTGCAATTTTCAGGAATTTTTGCAATTTTTGCAATTTTCAGGAATTTTTGCGATTTTTGCAATTTTTGCAATTTTCAGGAATTTTTGCAATTTTCAGGAATTTTTGCAATTTTCAGGAATTTTTGCAATTTTTGCAATTTTCAGGAATTTTTGCAATTTTTGCAATTTTCAGGAATTTTCGCAATTTTTGCAATTTTCAGGAATTTTTGCAATTTTCAGGAATTTGTGCAATTTTTGCAATTTTCAGGAATTTTTGCAATTTTTGCAATTTTTGCAATTTTCAGGAATTTTTGCAATTTTCAGGAATTTTTGCAATTTTTGCAATTTTCAGGAATTTTTGCAATTTTTGCAATTTTCAGGAATTTTTGCAATTTTTGCAATTTTCAGGAATTTTCGCAATTTTTGCAATTTTCAGGAATTTTCGCAATTTTTGCAATTTTCAGGAATTTCTGCAGTTTTTTGCAATTTTTGAAATTCTCAGGAATTTTTGCAATTTTCAGGAATTTTTGCAATTTTCAGGAATTTTCAGGCATTTTAGCAATTTTTGCAATTTTTGCAATTTTCAGGAATTTTTGCAATTTTTGCAATTTTCAGGAATTTTTGCAATTTTCAGGAATTTTTGCAATTTTTGCAATTTTCAGGAATTTTTGCAATTTTTGCAATTTTCAGGAATTTTCGCAATTTTTGCAATTTTCAGGAATTTTCGCAATTTTTGCAATTTCTACAATTTTCAGAAATTTTTGCAATTTCTGCAATTTTCAGGAATTTTTGCAATTTTCAGGAATTTTTGCAATTTCTGCAATTTCCAGAAATTTTTGCAGTTTATGCAATTTTCAGGAATTTTTGCAATTTTTGCAATTTTCAGGAAGTTTTGCGATTTTTGCAATTTTCAAGAATTTTTGCAATTTCTGCAATTTCCAGAAATTTTTGCAATTTTTGCAATTTTCAAGAATTTTTGCAATTTTCAGGAATTTTTGCAATTTTTGCAATTTTCAGGAATTTTTGCAATTTTTGCAATTTTCAGGAATTTTTGCAATTTTTGCAATTTTCAGGAATTTTTGCAATTTTTGCAATTTTCAGGAATTTTTGCAATTTTTGCAATTTTCAGGAATTTTAGCAATTTTTGCAATTTTCAGGAATTTTTGCAATTTTTGCAATTTTCAGGAATTTTTGCAATTTTTGCAAATTTTGCAACTTTTCAGGAATTTTTGCAATTTTTGAAATTTTCAGGAATTTTTGAAATTTTCAGGAATTTTTGCAATTTTCAGGAATTTTAGCAATTTTTGCAATTTTCAGGAATTTCAACAATTTTTGCAATTTTCAGGGATTTTTGCAATTTTTGCAATTTTCAGGAATTTTTGCAATTTTCAGGCATTTTTGCGATTTTCAGGCATTTTTGCGATTTTTGCAATTTTCAGGCAATTTTGCGATTTCTGCAATTTTCAGGAATTTTTACAATTTTCCGGAATTTTCGCAATTTTCTCATTTTTCAGGAATTTTTGCAATTTTCAGGAATTTTTGCAATTTTCAGGAATTTTCGCAATTTTTGCAATTTTTAGGAATTTTTGCAATTTTCAGGAATTTTTGCAATTTTTGCAATTTTCAGGAATTTTTGCAATTTTTGCAATTTTCAGGAATTTTCAGAAATTTTAGCAATTTTTGCAATTTTTGAAATTATCAGGAATTTTTGCAATTTTCAGGAATTTTCGCAATTTTTGCAATTTTCAGGAATTTTAGCAATTTTTGCAATTTTTGCAATTTTCAGGAATTTTTGCAATTTTTGCAATTTTTGCAATTTTTGCAATTTTTGCAATTTTTGCAATTTTCAGGAATTTTTGAAATTTTTGCAATTTTTCAGGCATTCTTGCAATTTTTGCAATTTTCAGGAATTTTTGCAATTTTTGCAATTTTCAGGAATTTTTGCAATTTTTGCAATTTTCAGGAATTTCTGCAATTTTCAGGAATTTTTGCAATTTTCAGGAATTTTTGCAATTTTTGCAATTTTCAAGAATTTTTGCAATTTTCAGGAATCTTTGCAATTTTTGCAATTTTCAGGAATTTTTGCAATTTTAGCAAATTCTGCAATTTTCAGGAATATCTGCAATTTCTGCAATTTCCAGATATTTTTGCAATTTTTGCAATTTTCAGGAATTTTTGCAATTTCCGCAATTTTCAGGGATTTTAGCAATTATTGCAATTTTTGAAATTTTCAGGAATTTTTGCAATTTTCAGGAATTTTTGCAATTTTTGCAATTTTCAGGAATTTTTGCAATTTTTGCAATTTTTGAAATTTTCAGGAATTTTTGCAATTTTTGCAATTTTCAGGAATTTTAGGAATTTTTGCAATTTTTGAAATTATCAGGAATTTTTGCAATTTTCAGGAACTTTTGCAATTTTTGCAATTTTCAGGAATTTTAGCAATTTTTGCAATTTTTGCAATTTTCAGGAATTTTAGCAATTTTTGCAATTTTCAGGAATTTTTGAAATTTTTGCAATTTCTACAATTTTCAGAAATTTTTGCAATTTTTGCAATTTTCAGGAATTTTTGGAATTTTCAGGAGTTTTTGCAATTTTCAGGCATTCTTGCGATTTTTGCAATTTTCAGGCATTTTTGCGATTTCTGCAATTTTCAGGAATTTTCACAATTTTCCGGAATTTTTGCAATTTTTTCATTTTTCAGCAATTTTTGCAATTTTCAGGAATTTTAGCAATTTTTGCAATTTTCAGGAATTTTTGCATTTTCTGCAATTTCCAGAAATTTTTGCAATTTTTGCAATTTTCAGGAATTTTTGCAATTTTTGCAATTTTCAGGAATTTTTGCAATTTTTGCAATTTTCAGGAATTTTTGCAATTTTTGCAATTTTCAGGAATTTTTGCATTTTTTGCAAATTCTGCAATTTTCAGGAATTTCTGCAATTTCCAGAAATTTTTGCAATTTTTGCAATTTTCAGGAATTTTCAGGAATTTTTACAATTTTCTTTAATTTTTGCAATTGTTGCAATTCCTGCAAATAAAAATTTTCGTTTTCCCTCCTGAGACTTCAGTACGATATACCGAGCTATCTTCGGACGGCCGAATGTGCCATAAAACGGCGGAAATTCTCGCGAATTATTGCTATTGCTATTGAATCGAATGAGACCAGCTCGATGTAACAAATAGTTTTTGAGATATCGGCGCTCAAAGACAGCTTTCCGATTCCATTGCCAATAGGTGCACTCCGGTAGGCTACTACGTCTCAATTTCCCAAAATTCAAGAATTTTCACCACAGATTCGTTCATTTCGACATCGAATTAGTCTATGTAAATTTTTTCAGACTTTTAATAGGCCGAATAAAAATTTTCATTTCCCCACCTGAGACTTCAGTACGATATAGTCACCGCGCTATCTTCGGACGGCCGAAAGTGCCAGAAAACGGCGGGAATTCACGCGATTTATTGTTTTTCCAGTAGAAAATGACACGCTGAATCGAATGAGACTATGATCAGCCCGATAGGACAGATAGTTTTTGAGATATCGTCGCTCAAAGGCAGCTTTCCGATTCCATTGCCAATAGGTGCACTCCGGTAGGCTACTACGTCTCAATTCTCCAAAATTCACGAATTTTCACCACAGATTCGTTCATTTCGACATCGAATTAGTCTATTTGAATATATTCAGATTTTTAATAGGCCAAATAGAAATTGTCATTTTCCCATCTGGGACTTCAGTACGATATGATATAGTCACCGAGCTATTTTCGGACGACCGAAAGTGCCAGAAAACGGCAGAAATTCAAGCGAATTTTTACTTCCCTAGCAGAAAATGACACGCTGAATCGAATGAGACTATAATCAGCCGGATAGGACAGATAGTTTTCGAGATATCGGCGCTCAAAGGCAGCTTTCCAATTTCATTGCCAATAGGTGCACTCCGGTAGGCTACTACGCCTGCATTTTTCGAAATTTCCTGATTTCCACCACAGATTCATTCATTTCAATATCGAATCAGTCTATGTGAATTTCTTCAGATTTTTGATAGGCCAAATAAAAATTTTCATATCCCCACCTGAGACTTCAGTACGAATAGTCACCGAGCTATCTTCGGTCGGCCAAAAGTGCCAGAAGACGGCGGAAATTCACGCGAATCATTACCTTTCCAGTAGAAAATGATACGCTGAATGGCATGAGAAAATGATCAGCCCGATAGGACAGATAATTTTCGAGATATCGGCGCTCAAAGGCAGCTTTCCGCTTGCCTATGAGTGCACTCCGGTAGCTTACTACGTCCCAATTATCCAATATTTCCTAATTTTCACCACATATTCGTTCATTTCGACATCGAATTAGTCTATATGAATTTTTTCAGATTTTTAATAGGCCAAATAAAAATTTCCATTTTCCCACCTGGGACTTCAGTACGATATAGTCACCGAGCCATCTTCGGACGGCCGAAAGTGCCAGAAAACGGCAGAAATTCACGCGAATTTTTGCTTACCTAGTAGAAAATGACACGCTGAATCGAATGAGACTATAATCAGCCCGATAGAACAGATAGTTTTCGAGATATCGGCGCTCAAAGGCAGCTTTCCGATTCCATTGCCAACAGGTACAATACGGTAGGCTACTACGTCTCAAATTTCCAAAATTCACGGATTTTCACCACAGATTCGTTCATTTCGACATCGAATTAATCTATGTGAATTTTATTCAGATTTTTAAGGAATTCCCAAAATGTCACTGCGTTTAAAGAATTTTCCTATCAGAGAGCCTAAAAGAAAAATTCACTAGCTTGTCACTTGTCAGTGACAATTTGTGTTGAAAAAAGTTTGGAGAAGAGAAATAAAGGTATATAGAAAAAATATCCATGCGGATGAAATTTGTATAAGAAAATATCAAAAATTAATAACTTTTGAACCATCAACAATTGGATAACCACATATACGGTTAGATTGATTGGAAATGACCTATCCTACTACCCCACTGCTCTTGATACATGACTTATTGGACACCCTGTATATAGGTCGCTCCATATGACAAATCAAAGTTGCTACTACTTACTAATAGGAGTGACAACACCGCATTGTCGAAAATATTTCAGTTGGGTAGATAATGTTCGAATATGATCTATATCAAATTTTCAAAGTGCGATCAGGTGCCTGCTTCATCATTATCAAGTTTAGTGTATACTGCATACCTACATAAATAATATTAAAATATACGTATAAAAACCTATAGTCGATGATAATCAATCTCCATAGTTGCAGTTGATTGAGCCACCCTGTATCATTTTTAAAGTTATCATCAAGAGATACAGAGTCAACGTACCTGTATACCCGAAGATGTGAAATATGCAACCATAAACACTAACGATGCCACTAAAACAATAAAACCATAATGATCCTAATGTTCTTTCCTTTCAGAAGAAACACACAACCTTCAAAAACGAGGCGGTCAAGACTGCAACGACAAGTACACACCGCCAAACGCCGATCCCAACACCTACCACGACAGTACACACTGTCTAGAATTCTCTGACCTCTGGTACAACGTCTACCAACTCGAAAAACCCAAACTGCGACACACCATTACCCTGCAAATCTACCAAAAATACCAAGACTTCGAAAACAGCTGCAAATGGAGGGACCTCACCAAGATGCAACCGATAATCGTTGGTACCTCATCTCCAGGCTTCCTCAACGACCAAGGCACCGTGAGCGTTAACTACAGCACAGAAGAAACCAGCGACAACCTCTTCTCCCTGCAGTACAAAACCCAAAAACTGCTCATACCAGACACCTCCAACGTTCCAGACCCCAATGGCACGCCAGAACTCAGAGGAGGCCCGTCAGAGTACCTGGTGATCCAAGACACCCAAGTGGAGCCCACAGGAAAAAGCTGCAACACCGCCGGGGTGGGCTACGAAGCTTTCGCCAAACAACCCAACAGGTGTTCCGTATCCAAAGGTTCCTGCCTCGAAAACCAGCCCAGCCAAATGTGGCGACAAGATCACGAACTAGAAGCCAGCGGGAAAAGGGGCAAGTACTTCCTCAAGAATTTCGGTGTACTCCCAGAATCTCCGATCTCCCAAAACGACTCTTCCAGTCAAAATAAAACCTTGACGATGTTCTTCACCGATTGCCATACCAGCGTACTGGACGTGGAAATCAGAGCGGACTACAACACGGTGCTGAGACCCAGCGCCCTAGCTATCATCACCGAGGTGTACGTGGATAGCTCAGCTCCCGAAAAAACCTCCATCATCGCCAAAGTTTTCAACTCTGGCTTGGTATCGGGGGTGTTCTCCGTCGATCTCACCAATTGCCCTCTAGACCTGCCGGCCAGCTTCGGCAACATCAACTCCAAACCGGCTTTCATCCCCCCACAGCACCAACACATCTACAAGCTGGACATTGTCTGTCCCTTGCCCCTCACTAGATTCGTCTGCTCACTCCAAGTGCTCAACGACAAACAAGAGCTCATAGCTCTGCGGGAAATCAGGCTGCAGAAGCAGGACAGATGCATCTGCGTTTGGCACTGTTCGTGCGCTTGCCTCTTGGAGGATGGAGGTTTGAGGTGCAGCCCCATGTCCTTACAAGCTTACTACGCTGCAGGTTTCCAAGGGGGAATGCCTCAATCGCTGCACGTCGTCCAATATACTTTACTCGACGATCTGGTGAGCATGATGTTGTACATCCTTCTGTTCCTCTGCCTCACTCTGATGTTGATGGGGCTACTCAAAGCGCTGCTGGGGGTGATTTCGGTGCCGATTGGTCTGTGGGGTATGGACGTTATCCTAGATCTGCCGAAGAGGATGCACAAGTACTACGAGACCGAGATAGACCACAGACAAGTGCTATATGATGGCAGCGGTTGGCCAATTCACCCTGATACCAAGAAACGAGTGAGGAATATCCCCTTGCAAGCCGAGTTTTGTATCAACGTGATTTTCTTCATGGTTTATCCTCTGGCTCTAATTTGGTCGATGATAAGGAAGAAACCTTCGGATAGCAGTGACGAGTTGATTTGTTACTGCAAGGATGGAGGATTGGTGCAGAGAAAGAGTAGCGGTTTGCAGAACAGTGTTGTTAGGAAATCGTCTCTTCAATCGATCAAAAAATAATCAATATTAACAATAAAAGGTTTTTCATGTGCCAACTCGTTTTTGTTTTTGCGTGATTTATCGTACGCCGTCTTGGTTAGTATCCATGCATATAAATACAGGGTGTCCTGCAAGTTTTGCTGCAGATTTAAAGGAACTGACAGCAGACGTAGTTTTACAGAACCTATTTAGATATGTCCTCTCACCTCGGTACCAAGTCTCGCGGTTTTCGAGATACCTAGTCGTCATTTTTCAGTCTCTAAAGCACGAGATGATGTAAACAATATTTTTCAACTATTATAAGTTACAAACATTGGTAGGTATGTTCTTTGTTCAATACGTTGAATATCAACGGAACACGTTATAAACAATAAAAATTCCAATAATAATGGTTTCCGAATGTGGTTATGATTATGTGACCAACTTCTTTGTATTTATTCACTCTCATTTGTCAAATTAATTACTACTTCATCATTAAGGATACTTATTCATACCATACCAATAGCCTTTTATTTTTGCCACATGTTTTTGAACAGTACAAATTCATACAAACCAAGTTTCGAATTCTGGGGAGTTGGTTCCTAACTTCGAAGAGGCAATATACAAATTTTATAAATTTCACAAAACTCGTTTTGCCAGGAAGAAACTATAGGAATATGGAAATATCAAATCCCTATGATACATACAAACATGTTTTTTTGGGGAATAATAAAAAGGTTTGTTGATGGTGAAATAATTGAGCTTGATGTATTTTCTGGATTGAAAACTCGCTATTACAATTTTTCTGATTAGCTATGTTCATTCTCATGGTACAAATTTCTTCAAAACAATCTGATATCAAGTGAAAACTCACTATAACAATATATAATATACAGTGAGGACCAAAAGGACGACGCCCCCTCGTTACTTCTTTATTTTACGTATTACAAAAAATTGTAGATGAATAAGTTGAAAGGTTTCATTCGATCTATTCAATGGTTTGAGTTACATTGATACAGAGTGTTCCAAAAATAGCGCCACTTAGAAATTTATTTTTTTAAATGGAACACCCTGCATTATTAGATTCTATACATAAATTCTGAGCAAGTTTGATGCATTGTTCACATCACGAAAGCTAATAAGCCTGGAAATATGAACATTTGTTGATTATTATTTCGTCTATATTTTTGCACCAGTTCAGTGAGGAAACCATCACAAATGGAACACTCGCACCTATCACTTTCCTTTTGAAAGCTCTCAACATTTTTTGTAATGTAAAATAAAGAAGTTACGGAGCGGAGGGGCGACTTTTGGTCCTCACTGTGTAATTGGGGGGTGGCGGAAATTTGATTGACAGACAAATGATAGAAAAACATTTGATAGAAGTCTTTTGAACGAAAATCAAAAAATAGGAAGAACTTTTCACCGAAAATACATTTGATCGAATGTTTTATGATAGAAAATACATTTGATAGAAACATAAATGATAGAAAATACAATTGATAGGAAAAATATTTGATAAAAAATACACTTGATAGAAACAGCATTTGATAAAAAATTCAACGGGGCTACGCTCAAGTTAGGTCAGTTCGTTTGTGAAGATATGATCCTTCCTCATATATTTGAGAAGAAGGAGCTAGAAGTTTGTGCTATCAATAAATTCATAAGCTTCGATTTCCATCTAGCTCCTTCTTCTCAAATATATGAAGAAGGATCATATCTTCACAAACGAACTGACCTAACTTGAGCGTAGCACCGTTGAATTTTCTATCAAATGCTGTTTCTATCAAGTGTATTTTCTATCAAATATTTTTCCTATCAATTTCATTTTCTATCATTCATGTTTCTATCAAATGTATTTTCTATCAAAAAACATTCGACCAAATAAAATTCTATCAAAACAACTTTCGATCAAAAGACTTCTATCAAATGTTTTTCTATCATTTGTCTTTCGATCAAATTTCCGCCACCTGTAATTGGGATTTTCTGATATGCTAAACAAATTCTCATGGTAACAATGATGATTTCATGAAGTGACAAGCTTGATATGCCTTGTGACGGTTCTAGACCGATTTTATTTTTGGATACTAATGTGGCTCCTATAAAAATGTTCTTCTATTCTCGTATCATCTACTTATTGCTCTAAATGCGTGCATAATTCATCCATGAGAATCACTAAAAAGTCTTCTGGCGCTGCAATTAACCGACATAATTTTTAAGTGTTTAAGTGGTTTCAGCGACAATTAGATGAGTTTTTCATTCGACCAGATTATAAATGTCCTTATTCGACAGTAGTCAAAACAAGGGGAAACTTTTATAATCGGATCCGAATTGATAGCGGAAGCATATCATAGGTCACAGGCGTAGGTGAAAGCCTTAGAATACCAAACTAAACTCTCAACACTTATTTCGTCGCACCCAAAAATTTTGCCTCTGTTGAAATATGAATAACTTTTTTCTGCTTTGAACGATTTGAATTCGGATCATACTGTTCGCTGGCCCAGTCCTTCAGCTATAATCTCACGATTCTTCAAAACATAAGGTTCTTCACATAAAATCGCTACAGGGTGTTACCTGAAACTGTGCAAAATTTCGGAAAGGACCCCGCACTTTTAGTACGTAAAATGGTTCTCGGTGAAATTTTCTGAATTTTCAGTATGTTGTAGAATTCGATGAACTGATTGAACCTGCAGAATCATAAAGTTCTTTGATGAACAGATTCTGAGATACAGGGCGTTGAAGTTACAAATCGGAATTTTTCATTTAATTATTTTCTCGGAATTCAAAGATGCCAAGTACAATTTTCTTCGCTCATATCATTAACAAACCTCCATATTACTCAACATAATTCAGATGGTTCAGATGATGTAATTGTTTACAGAGTGAAACATATAAACATTTCAGTGATGTCTGAAAATTCGATGTAATAATGAAATATCGAAAAAATAATTTAGGCATGCAATATACTATTCTCATTCCATCATGAATCACAATTCATACATTTCATACAGGGTGATTTGAAAAATTGGTGACACCTAAGACCGATTTATTCATACACATCCTGTATATTCGAGTGAATTGTTAACCTCCCAAGATAGCTGATACCGTATGAACATGATTTCGTTGAGATATATAGGGTGATCATGAAGATTTTCGATGATGAAAATGACAAAAAATCGTGTTTTTTGAAATCACCCTGTTATTCATGATTAACTCGGTGAAATTCCCTTATTATTTTTTAATATATTCATCATTCGCTCCTCAACGCTGTCTTGAAAATTCAGTTTCCTATCATGACGGGTGTCATAGTTATTAATTCAGGAACTTACGATTTGCATGAAGAGTTGAAGAGACTTGTTCACTTACATTCGCATAGTGGCCGATATTTTTCACAAATAGCGAAACGTGAGAATGTGGAGACGAAAATAAGTTCAGTATTCATATACAGGGTGAACATTAGAAATTCAATATCAATAGCAGATATATGAATTTAATAATATTATTATAATGTACAGATAGTTAGGCGAATTTCGTTGGTATACAAGCTCTGCCAAAATGAAAAACGAACAATACCTAGGAGATGGGAGAATGATTCGGTCTTTCACGCTTCCATTTCTAATAGGAAGAGTTGAATCCTGGAATCGACAGATTTTTTCACATTTGTTTTCCACTCAGAATCAGGCGTTTCCATCATTTTCATATTACCAACGAAATTCGCCTAACTATCTGTACATTATATTAATATTATTAAATTCATATATCTGCTATTGATATTGTATTTCTAATGTTCACCCTGTATATGAATACTGAACTTATTTTCGTCTCCACATTCTCACGTTTCGCTATTTGTGAAAAATATCGGCCACTATGCGAATGTAAGTGAACAAGTCTCCTCAACTCTTCATGCAAATGGTAAGTTCCTGAATTAATAACTATGACACCCGTCATGATAGGAAACTGAATTTTCAAGACAGCGTTGAGGAGCGAATGATGAATATATTGAAAAATAATAAGGGAATTTCACCGAGTTAATCATGAATAACAGGGTGATTTCAAAAAACACGATTTTTTGTCATTTTCATCATCGAAAATCTTCATGATCACCCTATATATCTCAACGAAATCATGTTCATACGGTATCAGCTATCTTGGGAGGTTAACAATTCACTCGAATATACAGGATGTGTATGAATAAATCGGTCTTAGGTGTCACCAATTTTTCAAATCACCCTGTATGAAATGTATGAATTGTGATTCATGATGGAATGAGAATAGTATATTGCATGCCTAAATTATTTTTTCGATATTTCATTATTACATCGAATTTTCAGACATCACTGAAATGTTTATATGTTTCACTCTGTAAACAATTACATCATCTGAACCATCTGAATTATGTTGAGTAATATGGAGGTTTGTTAATGATATGAGCGAAGAAAATTGTACTTGGCATCTTTGAATTTCGAGAAAATAATTAAATGAAAAATACCGATTTGTAACTTCAACGCCCTGTATCTCAGAATCTGTTCATCAAAGAACTTTACGATTCTGCAGGTTCAATCAGTTCATCGAATTCTACAACATACGAAAATTCAGAAAATTTCACCGAGAACCATTTTACGTACTAAAAGTGCGGGGTCCTTTCAAAAGTATCCCAAATGGAGAACTTTTTTTTCGACTTTGACAGTTGAGGCATGTAGATGATCTCATTATCTTAGGACAGTTCTGGAATTGTCTCCACATCCCTTTTATTTACAGAGTGATCTCACAAAATTAACTCTTTGGTTTTGCGGTCATAACTTTTATAATCGTCAACCGATTTTTTGAATCTCAGAGGCTCATTTTGAAGCTTAAACCTCAGATGAAGAGATATGGAGATCAGAATTGACTCAAGATGAACATTATACAGTGTGTCTGACTTCTAATGGAAGCACCTCCTGTCAAAAACACCTTGTATAGTATCAGTTACAGAAATATTGATTGCTCCTCGTTCTCAAATTGTCACCTGGTATAATATTTTTATTGGTATAGAAACGAGGAGAGAAAATACCAAATAATGTAGAG